CAACGGAAATGTGCTTGAAGGGAAGGGACCATTGAATTATGGAAATGCATAAGATGACTATTCTATCTGTTTCAAGAGTTTTGTCGCACACTAACACAAACGTATCACTGTAACGTTTCGTCTGACCTAGATCAGACGTCTTCAGACAAGCATATTTCAACTATGGCAATAAATGTCCAGTTAAAATGTTAATCAATGAATAAATATCTTGCAGTTTAGTGAATAATCCCTAAAAGGTAAATTAAACAACTTCACAATAAATCCTTCCAGAACTTTGATAACACCGATCATGGAGTTCCTTCATGAGACAAATCTAAAATGTTAGTCGGGCTTCTTTCAGAGTGATTTTATTAAATTGTGCAAATCCTTTTTGAGAAACATGTAGACGCGTTTCTTGCGACAGTTGTTGAGTTCTGATTTGGTAGGATCCATTATGGATTCAGAAGTCTCACGAAGAAACTAACGTGATCATCAGTTGAGGTTGCGCGATACTAAGCGGATCCGTATGCATATAATGCAAGGATGCTGTAGCGAGAATAAAGATGGCCATACTAATTTATTCAAGAATATCGATGCACACTGACACAAATGTATTTTTGGAACGTTTTATCTGACCGAGATCAGAATTCTTCGACGAGCTAAAATCAAGTAGGATGTATATATCGTTGCCAGCTTTACGCTTTTCGGGCGAGTGAGATTAAGAGTTTTTATTTCGACGAACTCCAGTAATTTAAACGCGTCTTTCAGTATTTCTTTTAGACGATCCGTTCGTTGTATTGCTCATTGTTTACAAAATATTTTTTGCTATAACGGTGAGCTCGAAGATTGAAAGAGATCTCATTATTATATGCAAGGAAGCAAGTTTGTTCATGTGAAATTGCTTTAATCAAAACTGAAAACTGGACCTAAATTTTAATCCAACTGCGAGACTTTGCATAGTTTCCACCTTTTAATTAACAGATATAGCAATATTTAACCTTTACGAAGTAGGACGATGTCGTAGACTACAATCCTGGACATATTTTATGTCTAACACATATCCCAACCATAATTACGAGTGTAATTCGCTTTGTATGGAAATGTGATAGAAAAGGAGGGTGTATAGCCGTATATATATATATATATATACATTCTGTGAGATATTTCGCCCTTCTCTGCGGACAACAAGTTTTCTGTGATTACCTGGATCTTCACCATTAGCCCAACTAACACCGTACACCGAATAATAAAACACTCGATCGGAACAGAAGTTGATTAATATACCTCATTTCTGCATTGCCAGCAAGTTACCAAGCTCAGATAATAATTCATAGCAACCTGTAGTGGGTTAATAAAATTACAGTTTAAAATTCGCCCTACTTGAATTTCGAATCACGTCACGCTGTCTCGATCGCGACCATAGCGAACATGAAGACTTACTCGTTTAATTGATCTCGATCCTCGAAACAAATGGGTTACGTATTATGTAGAATATGTATATAAAATTTTTACTATTCACACCAGGCGTTTCCTATACTATGTTTGTCATTATAATAACGTCTTGAATGTAAGAACATTTGCTTTTCAATATCAATACCGGTATTGCAATTATTGGTAGACAAAGTGTTGAATATTTTAGCAAACTTATATTAAAAAAATTACGAACTTTTACTTTCAGAGCGTCGAAACGCTATGGGGCACAAAGCACATAGGAAATCATTGATGCAAGGAATACTGAGCGTAGCCAGTGGCGACGGAAAGACTCCCACATCTGAGTTGAAAGAAGGGAAAAAATTACCAGATTACTTGACTAAAGATTTAGAAAACGAAACCTATAGATCTCCTGCATGCGCATACACAGCTTTACCAGACCCAGACAAATATTATGAGAAAGGGGTGAGTCTTGTGAAATTATTTTCCTTTCATATCATTGATTCGACAATCCAAAATGAAGTAGACACCGTAATTATTTAGTAATTCATTTTCTTGAATTTTAAATAGAGTTGTTTTAATATCAATTAAGAATTAGACTTGTTTACGATTCTTTTGTAGATGCTCCTTTCATTTTTTAAATTTAAATTCTAATATTTGAAGTCGAAAAAATTTCGTTTAACGCGTCGAAACAAAACTAATATTCGCGTTGGCATCATAATATTATTGTTAACGTTGGTAAGTACATACAAAACCTATTTCAAAGGAAAGTCTCCGGTTGTATGCTATTGTGCCTTTCCGAGTATGTTATTTTTGTTCCCTCGTAGAGTTCGCTAAGCCATTCAATTCAGTTCTGTCGAAAATAAGCATCATTCAAAAAACATTTTTGACTATAGAACGAAAACGAGAATGTGTGGTGCCAACCATGTTTGTATATCGAACTTGCGATCTCTTGTCGCATAGCTCGGCGTATTTACGTTATCATATCGCTCTCCTTTTAGAAGCGTTTCTTGATTGTTTCTATGCGGTGGATTTGAAAATTCGGAAATAGTTCCAGAGTAACCCAACGTTAAGATGAAAGCGTGCTGATAGTACCATCAGACAGTATACCAAACGTTGGCTGAATCTAAATTTTACCGAATATCTAAGTAATTCATAGTCATATTGACTAAATGTAACCTGTCACTTGACATTATGTTCGGTCACCATTCGTCCATAATGCTGCCATCTGCTTATAATCACAACTAGCATTCCTAAAACAACGCTTGGAATTCATTTGTCGGCCTTATTTATATTCAAATCGTTGTAGTCCAATGTACTTGGGCACGTTGGGCAAGTTTGGGATTGTATATAATATATGATCCCCTCAGTTATCAACATTGGCGTACAATTCATGACAAACCAATATTTATTTTTTTATTTTCAAATATTTGGGAAAAAAATTTGAGATGATGTTGATTCACGCATATGAAATCAAATTATAGCGTAAATATTGAACTAATGCATCAAGTTTTAATATTAATATTTGTATCTTATGCCCACACAAATAATTCGAAATCGTGTTTTGAGATAGTGATATTTGACATAGGCAATAACAATATCATTATGTCGTAGCGTGACGGTAACACCCAATCGGATTAGTAGTCAAATATCAGGATTGATAGACAACACACTACTGCACGACAGCACCAGGCGTTTATTTACTTTCTAAATATTTCTGTGAGCTCTATGGAATTCGTTTTTGTGCTATGACGTCATCAAAATTTGCGCGACTTGTGGCGGTTTCGCGAACACACATCCCCGGATCTCGTGCTCAGCGAACGTCGGCGGATCTCGTGCTTAGCAAAAGAGGGAAGTTTTTTATGGGTAACGGTAGACTGCAGTACCTGAGCTGGCGATACAGAAGGGACTCTTCGCTTGATATTTAAATTCACGTTGAGACTGAATCATGAAGAATGGATCATCGTCACAGAACCTGGAAAAGCGATGGTAATCTCTGTACCGGTGCTGGTAAGTTACCGAATGTGATTTTCGGGAAATTGATGATAAAATATGTCGTTTTGCCCTCCGTGTCCACATATTTGAGTATATCTCTCTTGTTATTACGATATGGTGTTTCCACTTTCGCAATTTCAAATTTGTCATGGTAATCTGCTAATATGGGCGCGGCTAATTTGTGCAAGATCTTAGCAATATTTTTATCCATTGTAAAGACAATGAATTTTCATGCAATTTAATTGGAATTTGAAAAAATTGAGCTTGGCGAGGCCGACATACGCAATGTATTTAGGCAGTGGGTACATATTCTAATTGTGGCTAATTATCAAATTACGGTAAAACAAGGTTACATCTCTGCGTCAGTACGAGTACGAGCCAAACAAACTATAATGAATTTATAATGCGTATACGTCAGTGTTAATAAGCGTAGCGTAGTGCGTCGCTTGTTCTGTCGTTGTCTCTCTCAACTGCACTGGCGAATTTTGACTATATTGCAATGGCTAGAGGTAATATCTACTTTTAGTTGGTATTTTCAGTTTTACCAGAATCAAAACGATGAGTAATAGTATATGCTAGTGATATGACGTATTCAATAATAAGCATTACTTCAGTTACAGATGATAAAGTTGCATATTGAGAATCCATATTTGGCTTCAATGGTTAGTAAACGCAATTTTCTTTGTGTTCAGATAATGTTTGCGTTGGATTAGACTTTAGGAAGATGTTCAATGTTTGAGCTATACTGTTGTTGAATATTTCCATTCACAAATATTCGTTGTAATTAATTTTTTTTTATAGTATTTATAGTTTAGAATAGAGGATTTACTTTACATGCCTAGTCATTTCCATTAGAAAACATTTCATAAACAGAGATAGACACATGTTGTGTTTTACAAGCAATGCCTTAGGCAGAATTAATTTAGCGCGCCATTTCTACGCACATAATCACGACTACAATATATGGTTTGAAGGAAGTTCTTTCCGAAATATAAACATTTGTCACTCTATTGTCACTAATTTGTTGTATACCTTTCTGTTATATTTGTAAACCAATTCGAATAATTCCTTATGTAATTTCCCCTAGTATCAATTTTCTTTTAATTATTTCCTATCAAGTTGGCCTACACGTTGTTTCTGAAACATATTCTTTTGAGGCTTTGATATAAGTCGGCTGTCACATTACATTTTATTTGACACCCAACAGATGAACATATATATTAATACTCCATACCTTAATCATACTTTTACAAAATATGTAAAAATCAAGTCGCTTATTTCAGCGTTATGATTCTTCGAATTTCTATGTTTTGTAAATTTATGTGCAGTTCGGAAATGCCTCATCAATTATTGAATTTTCATTGTACGGCCAAACGAATGTCCTTTTTTTCACTATACATATTTATATCATACCATATCGCATAGTATTACCCTAATCAATACAGTATTTCTATTTTTATTTATTCTAATGGATTGGATATGGGAAGGTTCGAATGCGCTTTTTGAGAGGTCATACGAAACACCTTTAGAGTTATTTTATATAAAAAACTCCATTTGTGCTATCATAGAGCTGTCTAAAACTCTGCATTGTTACACTCTGACTTGGCCTAGCGACATAATGCCCAATGGTAATCATGCTATCATTTCAAATTCAATTAATTCATGTGAACGGATCGTGATCGATCGCCCGGCATCGTTAGAAGGATTTGTCGCTACTGGATTATACTACTACTCTTCCATAAGCTGCATGTCTTTAACAGCAGACATCACTACGCAATGATTGTTCATCGAAAGGTTGACCAGCTTTCGTGTGATGAAATTTTAATAATTCAACCAGGTGCGATCACGTGGGACACGTAGGGTAAACAGCGGACGATCAAGGTGTATCACACCAACAACTGTTCACTTTTGTTAGGAAATCTGAGAAAACGATAAATGTAACTGCGGTCTATCTTGGTTAACCTGTCCGTGGATTATCTGCAAAAGTTGTAACATGTTAAAGTCTGTTCTCATACCGTTGCATTTCTATTTTATCATTATATTTCCTGCTACGCGTTTGAGCAATAGTTCCACATTAACTTTTCACGGGGATACGGCTTTACTAAGAATGTGAAGAAGGAGGTTATGTGAACTCAACAGTATACAATCCCCAACAGCAAATGATACATGTACTGTTGGAACGCCATTGTCGTTTCGGCGAAGCGTTTTACTGTAAACGGACGCTTTATTAATAGTAAGCTTTGCTGACCGTGAAAAGTGTCTAGATTAGTAATTCTCAAAACTTTTTTTGGCTCGCGGCGAACTGAGAAAAAAAAAAATTTGCGGCACACTTGTGCTATAAATAAATTTAGGATCAACTGAAGATTCTCCCCTCCGGACCCGCCTGAGGAGGAGATTCTTCAGTTGGACTCACCCTGGGATTCTTCAGTTGGTCTTAGTTGGGGTGGAGATTCTTCAGTTGATCCCGTTTCCTAACTGAAGAATCCCCCTCCTATAACCCACCTAACCCGATCATACCAGTTGATCAATCATTTGACCTAGACTAATTATTTGGTAGGGTTAGGGTTAGATGGTCTTAGTTGGGGTGGAGATTCTACAGTTGGTCTTAGTTGGGGTGGTGATTCTTCAGTTTGGTACCCTGGGGGGAGGAGGGATTGTTCAGTTGATCCGAAATTTATTTTGCAAATTTAAATGCGACGTGTGTGCCTGTTTTGAGAAACAATAGAAACGAGGTTCCGTCGATCACTTTTTTGCGTTTTATTTCAGTCAGAGCCGAAAATACGTGTTCACAGAGCCATGGAGATGCAAATGGCTAGATTCTTTTGATAGCTTTTGCACCTATGATAGAATGAAATTTGTAAGCAGGTAGACAAACTCGTCCAAACTTACTTTCCTGTTAGCCTAACTAAGCGCGCAAGTTAACATGGCGGAAGGTGTACGTCTCGTTTGCAAATGCATTATAACATAAAAATATTATCAGTCTAATAATGGATAGTGTGCACTCGAGTCTCACAAGCTTGTCCGATGCATGCATGCCTATGTGTAATACGAATAGCTTATTTTCTAATATTCCAATTCCAATAATTGCCGCGGCACACAGTTTGAGAAACGCTGGCCTAGAGAACATCGTTCTCTCGTTTTGTCCACCCCGCCTGCTTACGCAAGAGAGAAATAAATCCTGCGTGTCCGCTCACGGGTTAACGCCCCGGGCTCTGCAGTTTCGTAGATCCGGAATACAGGCGCCACCTTTTCAGTTCGGTTTTCATTTATTTTCAAGCATTTAGGCGGAACCTCGTGAAACCACTTACATCATATAGATGAAGGCAATAACATGATAAAATACTCATGAAATCACCGTTTCTCCATTATAACCCTGAACGCCAACAAACACAATACCCACATTGGACATGTTGGGTTATATTCTAATAGTGGTTTGTCATGTGTTTTTCAACCCCAACTTCTTCACCTACAACTTCATATTAGATATCTATAGATAGTATCTAAACATTTGTTTGGTGGTGGAATTACTGTTGACTGCTGGCGAATAATTATGTGAATATGAAATCCATTCGACCTCCAATTAGCAATTCAGAAACAAGACTGAAGTTTCAGGGTTATCAAGGACTATATTTACAACTTTTTTCGCAATTTTACAAGTATCTATCAGCTTCCTCTAATCTTATGTCCTCAGTTTATAAATGAACGTTTTCATTTCTTTTACTTTCGGATATATACATTGTTGTTTTTGATGGACAACATACATCGAGGATAAGATGTTTCAAACAAGGTTATACGATGCCGCTAACTACTCAAGTTTATTCCGTAAAATTGCCTAAAACTTACGAACGGCGTATTTATCCTCGTAATTAAGTTACTCGGATTATTCCAAGAACAATACACTACTAGCGTGCGATATCACTGGTTGCTGTATAATAAGCTTTTGAAATCATTCGGATCGAAGTTGCATTTTAACTTTATTAGCAATGAACGACGGGGGTTGCATGAGTAAAACTAATCGAACGGCGATGGATGCATTGCATCTTGTAATATCATTAGCATGGCTACGAGGCTACGAGGACTTATTACATAACTTTAGTAAGACTAATTTATTTAGTAATATTTTATCATTGTTCCAACATCATCCCAAATTTTTTTCTCAAAAATTTGAAAGTAATTTGAGGATTAAAGTTATTTTTTCTGGGCCAGTGCAAAATTTAATACGTGAAAAATATATTGATTTAACTTAATGCAAGAATATTTTCCTAATTTTGCCTTCTTACATAAAATGGTTTACATATTTTTTATTAAAATTAACCATAATTTGATCGATGCTATTTTTACCAATAATTATTTATAGGAGGTTTGTTTTGGATGTGATGTCAAGTGTTCAGTATGTGTCCTCCAACATTCGCCTGTAATGTAAAACCCTTTAAATACTTTACAGATTGCACTCTATCTTTGGCTATGGCGATGTTTGTAGTTATACACAGAAGATACTCGGTGGAAAGTTTATGTAGGAATTTTCGTATCGTGTAATCGATTTACGTGCAGTCTATTTTTTCGCATAGTGGCGAATGTACGCAGAGATTATGTTGTACTAGAGCAGCGCTTAAAAGTTGATAGACAAGTCAATACAGTGAGTGCTGCATTTTATAGGCTGTATTTTAAGGCCTTAATTTATGTGATAGTACCATACTTGTAAACGTCTAGGCTTGATTTAAACGATGGTGAACGGTATATCAATCCTAGTGATTCGGATGACTTGAAAAATGTACTTTCTATGTGGCTAATAATTGTGATGAAAGTAGATGTTGAAAGGTGATATTCTCTGTCGACATTCCGAGTGCTTTCGCCTTTGACGATCACGTATCCGTGATAGGACATTGTATTGTTGTTCAATTATTGTGGTTGCAGTTTCTCCGATTCAAAATGTAGCATTGTTTTTATGTGTAATTAACAACAATGCCGCTTATCAGTCCTTTCATTAAAACGTGACGAATCAGGCATCAATTCGTTTATTTTAAACGACCCAATGGAGTAAAATGTTTGCCAGATATTGTCCATCCATGGATGGCAAAGGTTCAGTTATTTTTCTTGTTGTTTGTGTAGATCTACTCCAATGTGTTCAAAAGCTGAAACGGTAAAAGTATAATATGTCGTTCACTTTTAGTATTTTAAGGCTAACGTCAGTGTGAAGAATTTGAGAGGCGGGATGACAAATAAATGCCCAGGTTGTCAATACGCGGTTATATCATTAAGTTATTGACTATTACTTTGTGGAAAAATGACGATCTATTAGTAATGTGTCATGTTTTGTTTTGTTTTTGCTCTGAGTAAGTTTGAAACTAATGAATATAGTTAGCCGCGATGTCCGCCATGAATTTCAATACATCGATATATGTGTAGTATTTTTGAATTTTAATTTGCTTTTCAAGCAAATCGCTGTTGTGTTCCGTTGTGAAATAAAATTATTTTCGTATATTCATATGCTAGGTTTGAATTATGTTAACTTAATGACTTCAAATATTACTTCACAAACGTCTAAATGGACGCTTTTCGCTTCGTATTCTGACTTTGGTGTTAAAAACCCACGACTGTGTTTTTTTGTGTCAATTATGGTGGTTCGACCTAGATCAAGATTCATCTGCGAATAATAATAAAAATTTTCCGAGCACCTGAGCTGAGAGTGAGAGCGTCTTTGAACTATTATCTGCCGCGTTTTCTAAATCTAAATTACGCGACTTAAATGTTGTCAATTTTTGCGTGATTCCCGCAATTGCGGTGTGTAGTCTTTACTGGTGGTTAACCCGCGACTTGCGTGAATTTGCCTCAAACGGCAAACAATCTTTTTACTAATATCATGCTGATCAATCTTATAGGAATACCAAATTGTGTACTTATTACTTTTCGTATTTTAAAGCATTTCGGAAGCGAAATTGTGCGTGTCCCGTTTTGTCCCGCTCTACAATATACGTAATCAGTGAAAGTAATAAAAGTCATATTTACTCCTAGTTTGGCGATATAGCACGCTTTTTATACTTTTATAGTTTAAAATACCCTCTTGTACACTAAATTGTCGGCGCCCCCTTCTTGATGATGCTTAAAAAGTGTAATGGACTAACATCACACTCGTTGAATACACTTCGAATTCACACTGGGGCGATGGTACGTTTAGATTTTCATCTCCCGGAGCTAATTCTCAAATCTATAACATCTCAAGAAGTTTATGTGAAGAATTTTTCTGATCAAATATTTCAACTTGATAGGACCTATCGATTTTGGATCATCCAAAATTCGATTTTGCTAAGGGGTACGCGAGCCAGGTTGATACACTTCTAGTCTGAGTATCTAATCAAATGCTATTGAGACTATTCTAGGTACACAATAAATCCATGCAATATCATAAATTTCAATATCTGGTATTACATTGCCACTCCGATGTAATGTGGGCTTATCGAGGGTATTACGTGAGTTATTTCATTTTTATTGCGGATTTTCTTACGAAATCAGTTACTTTTTTCGTCTGTTACACTACGTTGCTTCAGTATTGTAAATTTGTAAATTTCTCGAGAATTCATGATAAAATGTTTTCGATGTCCTAATATGCTTTATATTAGATATTGAACCTGTCGGAACGATAGAAAAAAAGTAAGTTTAAATGATTGTAAATGTAGCATGCCGACGGACTTATGTGAAATGAGAAATTCAAGCGAATTTTTTTTCATTCGGCATATTCGGTTTGCCGTAAGCCGTTAAAAGTTGCGTTTAGTTCCAATTTTCTACATTACAAAAAAAACTCGCCAAAATTACTCTCGCCCGGTAAATACTCAGTCTATACAGTGAGTAGATTAAAACAATAGCAATTTAATTCTCCCTTATTCGATCATTGTGATTACATTGGGGGTAGAGGATGGAATTTATAACATTTCGTGCATGAAAAGTGTTACCCACAAATATACATGCGATTTATTTCAAATCTCGTATAAGCGAAGAAAATGCGTCTCAATTTTAACATCGATCTCGATTTTTTTCTGGCCGATATTGTATTTCGTAGCAAATCCGTTGGCGAATCTCTCACTTGTTATGACTGACTTGCCGTCAAAAATGGAAGAGGTGGCGCTGGCGTGCATTGATGCGTTTAACTGGTATCGAGAAAGGCTGAACGAGCTTCTTACCATTCGCGCGTCAGAGCTTTGAACGAAACGTCGTTGGCGTGAATAATTACCTTCGCTGGATTTGAAACGAAAGACGGATGTTCGATATTTAATTCCTACAATTATACCAGGTGGTGTAGCATACAGGTTATAAAATAAAAACTTATCAAATAAGCTATAGAAGCCATGTGAAGCACGAAAGGTTAGAGTCTCATTCAGGAGAAGCAGTACGACTAACCAGAAGTAATATATTTTGAAAACAAATCGTGGATAATGTTTACTCCGAAGCCAGGGTTTCAACGAACTAGATCTTACTCAGATGGCTGTATAGAAGACTTACGCCGAGATGATATGTTGGGTGACTCGACAGATTCGCCGAAAAAAAAACCATGCTACGTTTGTGCAACAATAATGGGACCCGCACTCGATATCTCGCCGGACCCTGGTGAAGTTACCAAATACTGTGAAAATGATAGCGAGTCGGAGGCGGAATTACAACACTATTCGCAAGTATCCGACGATTCTATGGAATTATATGCGGCAAGGAAAAGGGCCAGAAAAGAAAAAATCAGACGCCTCCAGCATGAACACCAACAAGCTATGCTAAAATTGCAAGAACGACGAAGACGAAAGTGGTCGTCCGACGAAACGAAAACTAGGTCTGGTCGCCTTGTCAGAAATGTCACAAATATTTGGCATTCCTTATTCGACGAAAAGGTATTCTATAAATATGTAAGAAAACTGTCATCGGCCTAAAGTTGTTTGTCGGAGTATTCGTTTGTGCCTCAACCTCGAGGATATTATTATTTAATTTATTATATAAACTGATCGTTTCAACTTAAATTCAAACCATATATTTATGCAAAAAACCTGTGACCGTTTCACCCTACAGGGATAGTCATTCAATGCTTTCAGGTTTCACCTGAGTGCGATCAGTTTGTGCCCCGGGAAATATATTTTAAAATACTTATTGTTTGGTTTGAGGTATTCAGTGTCGGCGACAAAATATAATCTTGCCCCCATATGACTCTTATGTATTCAGGGCTTCCCTTGCTCGTTGACAGGTTACATATATTCTACTTTTTGATGAAAGGCTTTTCTTACTAAAGTTATAGTCATTGTTAAGTAGGCTAGTAAGTTAGTTATTGTATTTACATAACAAGGATTAGAAGTTTTCCGCTAATGTATAGTTTCACAGATTGTATATAAAAATCCCCCCCCCCCCCTCCGCTTTCAATGGTAATTTAGCGTAGATAATTGTAAACCTGAAGATCTTTATTTAATATTCTATATTTGTGACAACTGTTCCTTCCCTTGATGACTTATGACGGGTTGCTAGTCAACTAGATATAGTTCATCATTTTTTATTCGTTTTTCAAATTATAAGGCGCCGCGGACGTATGGTATCTTAATCTCATATATCTTGCATAATGTATGCTCAGACATTATTGAATTAATTGGACTTTTGTAATTGCGCTCAAGACTATTTTTACCATTCAGTCTACTGGCTGCCAAGACTGTTATTTTTAAGCACGCTGGTTACGCATAACGTGCCACGTTCTTGAGTAATTGACCCGCAAAATCGCGCAACATCCTCGAGGCAAAATAAGTTGCTTCTTGTAAACAGATGGCATATCTAGTTTACGTTGTTTCTACAGATTCCGTGATAGGTACTATCATATATAAATTTATATTACGTCGAATATTGATGAACTCGTGCAATGTACTGTACTCAGTGTAATATTTATATCGTTATTTAAATATATTTGACATTTTCTATTTCAGACCTACATCGTTGTCAACCAGCAAGAAACTACTTTTCGTTTCAGCGAGTCAAAATCACTCTTTATTTTTGATCGAACAAGTAAAATCCGACAGTTTTGCATCAACCTTTTCATTCGTCCACTTTTCTCTCATTTTATAATGATGGTTATCTTAGCCAATTGCGTGTGTATGATGCTGGCGGAACCTCCGCCCTGGATAGAAGACTATCTGGAGTAAGCTTTTTTATTTTCATAAAGTCATGTATTCTGATGGTGTCGTAAATTTAAGCCCAAGAAACTTTATGGATAACTTCCAGTGCCTTCGCATGGTTTAAATGTGTGCATAATCGGCTATAAGAGCTTGAGCGGTCGAGGCTTAGTTTGTCTCGGAAATTGGTAGTAAGCACTGGAATCGAGTCATTCTCACCATATTCGCTACGACTTGATTCCACGATCTGGCATCAGGCATTCATATCATTGTTCAGGAGGGGTACATTGGTTTAAACCTCATCGTACTGCAATAGGATTAGTCTGTAAAGTCAGTGGTTTAGGACAATTAAAAAACTATAATTTGTAAACTGGCGCTGGGACAACTGCTGTATCGAAAATACTGACTTCTTCACTAGTTGTTGCGTGATTAGTCCCTGCGGTAACAATTGCCATTTGTCATGCTGCATTGCCTAATCTCGATCGGCCTCCTCAATTGTCCGTGCGATATGAGTCAGAACTGCGGTTAAATGAATACTGTGCCGAACAGTCTCATATAGGGGTATATCCGAGGTTTTAAAGAAGGAGAAGGGGAGGTGGTTCGTATTTTCGCGATCTGGCGAATCAATTATCGCCATTAGAAATATCTCAAGATCTGCGAAAAAATCCTAAAGAATACAATTGAAGTAACAGTATACTAGAAAATGATTGAACATACTTTATATTGGTATAAAAAAGGGGTGGTCAACACGCGATCGCGATTTGTGTCGATTTTAATAATAATGTGCCCACAAATTCCTCTTATTGACAGTGGTGGAATTTTTTGTATGCGTGTGTTCAGTTATCTGCATATTTAGTGACCATTCATTTTTGTGTATGACCTTATTACTGATCTGTCGATCGCGATCTATTTTGAAGATTTTAGTTGATCGGGATCTATTTTGAAGATTTTAGTCGATCGCGATCGAGAGCAGGTTGGCCACCTCTGGTATATAACATGATCATAATTCGGGAAATCGTCGAGCGCGGCCCCGACGCACGCGTTATTGGTGACTTTTTTGGCCCCATGGCTGAGGCACTGGTCTCATGAGGTTCCATCGACTTCTTTCTAGAAGCATCCGCGGTTGTTAACATCGGGATAGTAAATTACGATTGAGATTATCGTTGGATGATGCCACGGATTGAATGAGAATGAAATGCCATTGCATTAAGCCGCGAACATACCACCCTGTCAAGACAAAATTTATGTTAAACTCAAATATCGATGACTTACCGGTACATTTTTTTATGACACTTCGTAAAAAAATGTACCGGTAAGTCATCGATATTTGAGTTTAACATAAATTTTGTCTTGAAAGGGTGGTATATTCGCAGCTTAAATGCAATGGCATTTCATTCTCAGTCAACCCGTGGCATCATCCAACGATAATGTGACAAAGACTAACTGATGTATATTTTAATTTATTGTTCATGTGAATATATGTTTTGGTCCTTGTAACAAATTATTCCCAGTATAATTGGGCTTGCATTTTTATCTTTTTGGTGGCGACACAAACAACCTTGATAAAACTAACGATAAGTTATGGGGCTCATAGTTGTCAATCTACGCATTGAGCTTTACATAAAGTACGACTATGTTGTCTGTTATGCGGATCGTAGGGTGAAAATGAAGTTTATTGGAATGCTTGTCTATTTTACCTACTGTTTTTGAACTAATTTGGATTAAACAGACGGTTTGCATATTTTTTCTTCCATAGGCATGTTTTCACCGCCATATACTGTTTTGAAGCTGCAATAAAAATAATAGGAAGAGGATTTATATTGCATAGATTTGCATACCTTCGCGACCCTTGGAATTGGTTGGATTTCATAGTGATTGTATTTGCGTAAGTATGTTTTAAATACCGCATGCTAATAAACGAACTGAAAACATGTTCAAATCGTACCTCACCAGGCGTATACCCATTTCCATTTATTCATGGCTACAGAGTCATTATCAATAGTAAACGATAGACTATCTTTTTGAGGATTGGTAAGCTGAGATTTTTCAAATTTCTCATTGAATATTATCATGAGTCAGCTTTCGATTCAAAAAATTGACTTTTTCTAAACAAGTTTAGATATATTGAGCGCGGAATTGTTTGCAAGTGTATTCGTATATTCATAGCTCCTTGGGTATTCAAGAGTCAAGACTAGGTTGGAAAAGATGGTGCGGGATACAAAACGAATAAATTCTTGTAACAATGTCTTCAATTACGACACAGTTCATGGAATTTGTAGCCAAAAGATAAAAATCTACGATAGTAGCAATGTCGGTGAAAATTTACTGTATACACACTGAATAAAGATCACATCGACCAGGCCAAGTTTCATTATCCACACAATTGTATAATCTTGAAAAAGGAAATACAGGTTTTTAGGAACGACGAAGTTAATAAGCCAATTCTATAATTATTGCAGATTAATTACGGCATTACTAAAAGATCTCGTGGGACAATTTTCCGTTCTTCGTGCTTTTCGTGTGCTTCGAGCTTTGAAAACAATGTCAGTTGTGCCTGGTAAGTTTTGCTTGGATGCATGGATATAGATTATTGAAGACTGTATATTATATAAAGGGTAAATAATATCTATACATGATAGATGTATTTCCCATGTACAACAAGTGGAGAGCTAGAAAAACGTTGCAGAGATTGACATCAACTTATGTTTACCATCTATGCGACATTATCATAATTTGCAGTGTTTTGTAATTTTTTGTACCTTCTCTCTTGTGATGCTTGCTTAAAAACGAAGTTTGGATGAATCATATTATGTTCAAATTGAATCTATAGTTATTCATTGTTTCCAATGATACACGCAAGCTCCATGCCATTCACCGCCTGCGGTTAAACTTCTTCATAGATAATCTAGTTCTAGTCGACAAAAAACTTATCAATTAGAAATGCATTGGTTTGTGATATCCTCGTTACTACATTTTTGAGGTTAAAACTTATAATAAATTATTCGAGCATTATTTTAATAATAAATAAACATAATATTTTAATCATAATAAATATAATAATACGACAACAAACGTTAACCATGTAAGGTCGCTGCGTTCCAATCCTATGTGAATCTTTAAACTAGAAACTGGTCGAGCAAACTTACTGTGGACAATGAGATACAGATCAGAATTCCTGATTGACACCCTATAATGCTGTTTTATATTGAAACCGCCGCTTTGATTTAGAGATGCAGTTCGATACAGTTCTCTATTTATACTACAGGGTATTCTAGAATCTTTCCCAATAACAGATTGATAGCTGAACTTTCAAAACCATATGGAAATCCACATTATTTAAAAATTTGGTTTTTATTATATTATAATTTGCAAGTATAACCGTGACTAATATTTTATAAATACCTGAATAAATAATAAATGAATAATTTAATTCCGTACAAAATCTCAAGTGATAAGCCGCCAATTGTTATTCGCTAATTTATTCGTCATCGAACATTTTTAAAGTTTCGGTTATTCTATATTATTATAGTGTATTTATATAGATAATAATTATACAAAATACAATAGTTACAAATTACAAATAGTTATACAAAAATTTACTACACAAAACTGTACTGTACAAATACAAAAAAGGAAGCTCCAGTAGGTGCGTAATTGCTGGTGTGTAATAATAACTCGTGTTTTGAAATTAAAAGCGCGTTTATAACGAATGCAGACAAAATATTCAATTTTCCGCGCACGTATGTCGTGATGATATTGTTATGAGATTAGAAGTTTGTTTCTATAAATATTTTCATAGCTTAATTACGTGTAAAATATGGAGCACCGGTTCTGTAAAAACCATAAACATGTTGAAGTGATTCTTCTTTGAGAAGACACTGGAACGAATTAGTAATACATCCTGTGGGAATTGGCGTAAATTCCGTAGTCATTACAGCCTAGTGCAGCTTGTGCTTGAATAACTTATGAATGGAGTCAAAAACACCATAATTAGTAGATATATTATTTGACTATTGAGTCAAAAAACAATACTCTTAAACATTATGTGTTTAAGTTATTATCACAAGGAAAACGAGATCATGCAATCGCCATTTTGAATATGGTCTCGTAAACTGTTTTAGTAATAGCATTGATTGCGAAATGTCATCTTGTAGCACGATTATTATGAAAAACTACTCAGGGCGAGCATCTTGAAATATCTGTGATTTTCCCACATACCGGAGCGGTCTCAAGTTGTCGAATACGATATATATATATATATATCTACGGAGATTGCAATGGTAACATACGATAGTAAAGGTATGGAAGGAAAAGTTGTCTTGTATAATGGCGTGCCAATTTAGTGCAATTGTTTCAATAAAGTATTACTTACATAACTCTGTTGGATGAATTACTATCTTTAGTAAATAAATTCACATTAACAACCGCCATTTAAACCTTTTTGTTTTATTTTCAGGGCTGCGAGGCATTGTCAAGGCGCTGCTTAGATCGATACGTGCTCTTCAGGATGCCGTCGTTCTTACTATATTTTGTGTTTCGGTGTTTGCTCTCGTTGGTTATCAACTGTTCAGCGGGACTCTGCGAAATAAATGCGTTTTAATACCGGGTTCTCTGTCAGTGGGGCCAGACGCAATGTACGTCGTAGATTTGAATATGGCACCGAAACATGAAGATTATTTTAGTGTAGCAGCTTCAACTGACTATTCGAGTTCAACATTCAAAAACGATTCAAATTTTACACATACTCTTGTCAAACAATCATACAACAGTCCGGGGGTATCGCCTTTTGCACTGATCCCACTTTATAATACCTCGCGTGTTGAAGGAGAAACCATATATGAGGGAATTACAAACTTCGTGGAGACTTTACATTGGAATAGCGAAGACGCTAATTTAACGTCAACTATCCTCGATCGATTAAACGAAACTTTGGCCGAAAAATATCGAGGTTATTTAAGTACAAAGAAAAATAATATAAATAAAACAAGAGACAGTAATGCGACAACAATGAAAAAAAACGAATATAAAGAATCGTGTGATACAGTTTTCCAACACTGTTTAGCGTACGAGCAGATAAAAATTCGGACTACTTCTCAATGTTCTATTTTGAACATGGCAATTCATATGAGTCACCGAGATTCCATAATTAAAAGTAATTGTGAATATATCGACAGCGTTAGCAATGGCGTCAAATTTTACGTTCCCTCGGCCGAAATAATGCTTAATTCAACCACATTCACTCACGCACGTCCTGCAACTACACGGAATAGTATGCATGCAGTTTCAGTATCGTGCAATACCTCTTTTGAAGTGTTAGCAGGTAATATTTCTTGTATGTACGAGGCGATCAGATCGAGAAGGTCGTCAAACTCTTCCGTTGACTTCTCGAATCATTCTTGTTATCATAATAATACATGGTTGAAAATAATTGCTTATGGAAAAACAAATATTCCTCGCTGGAGAGCCCGCAAAAGCGTGGTATTATTTCGACTATCGAAAGTTTCTTCCACCGACCGGTCGAATGCGACTGATACGAAATCACTGGATCCAATCAAATTTTTTAACAAAGAAAAAGGTTTCCTTATTTTTGGAGAATACACACGGGAAGAGTTGAGCACAGAGGTCGAGAAAGAATGGGATTGTAATGAAAATAATTACATCTTGAGATCAGTGGATAGTGGAATGTATTTTTACCAGAATTCATCAAATAGGCCGAACCGGGAACCACTGTACTGTACGTCAGGAGAGAAGTAAGTTTTTCTTGGTAATCTTTCTATATAAAAGACACGACCGTGATTATTCAGCGTTAACTGCCCTCTCTCGAACGTCTTTTTACCAGTGGAATTTAAAAAAATAACAATACAGTGGCCCTTTTTATTATGAACCCTGGGAATTAACCGACTCGTTATAGCGAACGGTGTCATTTTTTTAACTGTTGGCTTATACTTGACAGCTCCGTGTGTCCAATCGCGTACGAATGCAAGCAAGCTGGCGGAAATCCAGATTTCGGTTATACAAACTTTGATCATTTTTTTTGGGCCTTCCTCACGTCATTCCGACTCATTGCGCAAGATGCATGGAGCCGCCTCTTCTATCTGGTATGACAATAATTTTTATAAGGCTAGTTTTAATTATTATGACGTTGGCAAATGGCTGTGCAAACTAATTTAATTTTTTGATAATTTTTTAATTGACTTCGCCTTCTTGTTTAAATATTGTCCATTTTACCCTTACCGGTTGATAAAATTGCGATTTTCAAATATAAGGAGCCAGTTTTGTAAGGGCGCAATGTGGTATGCATGTCAGAACAAGTTTTTTATTCGACATTCTTTGTATGGCACACATGTTGAAACTCTTTAAAAATGTATTATTTTCTTGCGACAAGTACTGTATTTGCTTTACGGTTCATTGAATGCGCATGATGCGTGAGTGGTATTCCCTCAGATCGGCCTATTTTTAATGATAGACCGAATGATAAAATATAAGTTACATGAGGTTTACATCTTTGCGACATTTGTGTCAGAAAATGGTCAAAGTTACTTTTATTAGTAAGTAAGTAAGAAAGTAAAGGCTGCGCGCCAGAGTAAGAAACATGCCATTTCAGTCGTGTGCTCAAATATGTATGGTATTTAAACATAGTTGCAACCTGAGGACGATGTTTCTCTGTGGTATTTTCTTGATTTGTACGTTTTATGATTGTTTTTTTTTTCTGTAATTTGAGTGACTTCCCAGAACACTCAAATTATAGACAAGAACACAAGTCATCGAATATGTTGGATATTACATGCCGAAATAAGGCCAAACTATGTGCATTGCTACGTAAACAGTTTAAGCTATTAACGTGAATTCAAGCAACTATCCGAACGGAAATGCCACTCATTTCGAATACAATCCAGACGTGATAAATGTTCCTTGGACCGCGTTTGGCAACCAATTTAGCGTTACAATACTTGTTTTCGAGTCGCCTTATATATGACACAATAGATATAAACTGCGGTTTTATTGACATGCTTAAAGCGCTCTGTCTTCTCTCCATTTCATGCAGACACTTCATACGATCGGAAAAAGTTACGTTGTCTTCTATATCATTGTAATGTTTTTGGGGTCATACTATCTTATTAACCTAATACTAGCTGTTGTATATATGGCTTATGAAGAGCAACAAGCTGTAGTTGAGGACGAAGAACTTGTGAGTCATTTTTAAACTATTAGACTGTGATAAATTGAGGAAATATATAGAAAATTGATTTTAGTATGCTATCGAGTTCATTCTCTGATATGTACTGCCACTTTAAAAATTTACCATATGCTGACGACCTGAAAATGCTGTCAACATTTTCTGGATAGACGGGTCAAGGGCGATGCCGATATACCTGAGTAGAAAGCGAATGCTACGAATATTTCTAAACAAATTTGAAACTCATAATCAGACATGAGCTCATGTTTTGAACTGGGCAATTACCGCTGAGCGGTAATATTTTGCTTGGTTGGTATCAGGTCAATCAAGAAAGTCCTTCAACTACTGAAATAGAATTAAATAATTTGATGTCGAACATACGGTTATTTTATTTTTTTCGTTGTTTGAAATATAGCAATTATTTTATGGCAACCAAATATATCAGTGACACGTTTGTAAAGCATGTCCATTTCTATTGAATAATCACAAACATCCTTTCAAATCCACGGCCAGAATGTCGTTACTGCGCTTTACAGCTACGCTGCATTTCGTAGCCAGTTGAATATAACTTTAATTGAGAAGCAGTTGTTGGGAAGAATGAGTAAAACATTAAATCTATTCATATTTATTTCAAGGGTGGTTATTATTCGGAAAAATTCAATAGATATTGTTTTATCTATTCTAAATTTAATTAGAGAAAATGTCATATTTTTTTTTATTATTTTTCTTTTAGGAAGAAGAAGAGCATAAAGCAGAAATAAGGGAACTTGAGGTAATTCTGCCAAACTATTTACTACCTTACACTGGGACTCGGTTAATAGTGAACTTACTGTGCAGTGCTTGATTCCGAGATCTCTAACGAGTCTAACCTATACAACATCAATAAATATACGGTAACTAGGTCCGCGAAGTAAACACAGAAGTTACTGTTGGCACATCATGCTAAGCATTAGACACGGATTGCCTCGCGAGAGAGGCGCTGTTTCGAATCACATGTGTCAGGATCATGTGTGGGGGGATCGGGGTGAACAGATCATTTTTTCTCGTTACCCGCATACTCCTTCAAATGTCGTTTGCCGTATCTCCAATGTATGTAGGCAACCAATGACAGTTCGTTTTTATTACTGTTACTTCACAAACATATCAACCTTTATCAGATGCGAAGATTATCAGATCTCGTGAAATTTTTGCCCATCAGCAATAGACCAGTCATTTACCATTACATACAACGCGGGAAAAGATAATGTGGCAAAAACAATTTTTAACATTGGGCCTCATGGAGAATGTGGTCAACTGAGCCCGAAATTTACATTTCTCATTGTTTTGATCAGGTTAGGTATTGTTTGTCGGACAGCTTCCAAGAGTTTATCTCCTTACTTTCCATAAAATAAATAGAAGGTAATATTTAGTGAAACAATTTCAGAGGGCTTGATATTTTAAGTGTAAGCTTAAATTGAAATCTTGGTTTTCTTCCAATATCTAAGAAGTAATTTTGTTCCCGAATTAATTATTGTTACGGAGGGTATATATATATATATATTTTTGAATTATTTGTTGTCTCAGAAGGAGTATTGTCTCCGTGAATTAATTATTGTCTTTGTCGGAAGAGGCCATGAGGTATGAGGGTAGCTAGATAGACGCGGAATAGCTAGGTAATCTTACTAGACGCATGAATCATAAATGAATAAATGGAATTAATTTGTGGGGTAACCCATGGGGTCACAACTACACAATCCTAACACCTAGTATGCCATTGGTAAATAACAAAAACGTTGAAAAAGGTAACGAAACGTTAGTTGCTGACTACCACAGGCCATATCTGTGTGATCAAGAGTATGCCACTATTATATCGTAAAAATTTAAGCCCGAACCTTATTTACAAATCTCGAGAAAACATAAGAACGACTGATTGGTAAATAATCTCACTCATCACTAGATTACTTTTGAGCATTCCGGGAGTACTCAATATTGAATAAATTTCGGTTTTGAATGCCAATACGGTAATTGGCTAGTTTGAATTATGTTTGTAATCAACAGGCAAGCAGCGATGACAACAGCTCTAGAACACAAGATGATGAAAGTGGCAGTAGATGTGACAGTGTACGTAGTGGATGTGTCTCCGAAGGAACTCGTAGGTTCGGATTGATTACCACGTCGCTAACTTCGATAAATGATGCTGGTGGGATTCGAATACGTCATCGGAGCAGTAAGCGTTCTAGATATGGTCATAGGAGGACCCCGGTTCGCTTAGATCAGGAATCAGAACAATTATACAGACAACACACTAAAAAGTATGGAGATGGTTTATTTAAAGAACATTCAGATATGACCTCCGGAAGGGACCATAGAACATGCAGGACAAAACAACCAAATAGACAAGATTCTTTTACAAGGTGGTTTCCGTCAAAATCAGCTTTTAGGTTGTTAATAAGATGAATAACTTTGAATAAAGTCCTCCACGTGCGTTTATTTTATGGCAATGATTAACTCTTAGAATGGTTTCTACTTTGCTGCAAAACACTACAATTTTCATATTGTATAAAACAAATTTTATTATTCTGCACCCAAGGCATTTCTAGGACGTTTGAGTTATGTTCTATTATTTTAACTTTTTCGTGTTATACATTTTTGTAAATGGCTCCCTGAGTTATGTAATGCGGTACAGCAGTTTGCAGGGTTCATTTATACTGAACGTTTCAATTCACTTGTATTTACTATATAATCTCATAATTCGTCTAATGACCTTGACGATTTTTCCACCCCTCCCTCTTAAATTGATAAAAGATAACATTGATTTATGTTTCAAGCACCTGGAATAGTGTGGCCTATTCTCCTATCTCACCATATTTATTCCTATTCAACACGATTTCTTATAATATTGTCAGACAAAACTATCATCCGGCTTGTGTTTTACACATGCTTTGTATTTCACAGCGAAGCGTCATTTGTCTTAAATTCGGAGAAGACTACTTGTTCAAATCCTAGCAGACAAATTGAAATGCCCGCATTTCGCAATCGTTGTTCTTATATACGAGGATGTCGTGGCTCACATAATGTTGACAGAAAATTGGGTTCCACAGAGAACTTCATTTCGGTTAAAAAGAAAGAAGAACAGCCGGTTTCGCTTTTTGTTACACCTGTCCATGAACCAAAATATGCTGAAAATACTCCAGACCCTGTCGACATGAAACTTCGTAACACAAAATTAGACGTCATCAATGTAAATTTTGAGATGGGAAGGTCATCCTCAATCTACAGCTCTGGAAGCGATATTTCATCGAAAACTGATGAGGCTGTGATGTTGCCCCCACTGTCATTTTGCGAGCACTGTAGGCGGAACAGAATATCTCCCAGGAGCCGTACTGTTTCAGAAAATTTACCTACTACTTTACTGGACCCTCCAGCATTACGAGGTAATCAAGGTATGGGACAACCTGTTTAATATTTTATTTACAAACGTGTCTACTTGACTCTCACAAGACCATTATCCTCATAAAGGTCGATTTGATATTCTGTTATCTTTTTCCAGATTGCATGAAATCAAACGACGAAATACCATGCTTTCTGCAAGTTGCTACCGACTGTACAAGTCGCTTTAGTGGATCTACATCTTCTACTTCTGGTTTATTTGAAGCGACCGAACGGGTATGTATTTATTGAATATTCACTAACATATAAACAAAATAACCCATCGCCTGGTTTATCACAATATCCTTTCGAACTGGTCAAAACCTCATTGATAGAATAGATCCATGGGTAAATTTACCGTTTTCAATATTTTTATAATTTTGTAGGTAGTTCAGGCCGAAATATCCCCAACGTGTCATTGGTTATCTCCTCCGGCGCCAGCAAGATGTTTAAAAAAAACAAATAGATTGACGTCCTCGAGTTCGTCTCCAAGTTCATCCACCATTATTTCTAATAATAAAAAGTTTTCGGAAGACGGATCAAGGGAATCCGCAAGTAACACAAACAAAAGCGATAACGATTCGTGTATACCACTACAAGTGCCTTCTCTGTTAGTGACATCAGCATCCTCCGAGCACATTTCTACAATGTCTGGTGTGCTCGACAGCATTAAATTATACGACCAATCCTGCGAAAACGGCGGCAAACTGGAATCGGACGGAGAGATTGCCTTGGCACGCCATTCCTTGCCAGGTGCCGTGGACAAACCAGAATTGAAGTCTAACGATAAAGAATATGGCCCGGTGACTTCGCTGAACGATATAGACCGAATGCACACTTCGGCTTTCAAAACTTTACAGAAAAGGGCAACCCAGAAGAAAACTGCGTACGCAGAAGATCAGACACTGCACAATTATAAAAGACGTTCCCGCGCGACATATCCTCGCTCTTCACTAGGTATCGTATTCTTGCTTATTCATTCGTATTCAAGCAAATATTTCGACAGAAATTCATAGATAAGCTTGAAATGGCATTTCAAATTTGTGTTGTTATCAGAAATGATCCTTATTCTTTTCATATTTCAACACATAATTTTATAAATTATAAAATTGAATATTTTCAACATTGTAGACAAACCTGACAGCAGCAGTGCAGTCGACATTGGTACATTTGCGATTCAGCATAAAGGTCAATGTAACAGGCAAATTCATGGACAATACGATTTACCCGATACTATTGCACCTTACCGTAATCTGACAGCTAATGACGATATTGCCGATTTTGAGGTGTGTATTCCACCCTGGATTTTATTTTTATATTAGTTATGGCAACACAAGCAAATGGCATTTAACTCAAATTTCCATATGACATTCGGTACGATTCTTGATCCGCGAAACTGGGACAGATGTGAATTAGACTAGTCATGTTCGTAAGCCGCGATAATTATTGAGAGTTGTCGGAGTTTAAACCAAGGGTGTGTAACAGCCGGCCCGCAGGCGTTTTGACGATGCCTTTATTATTTTAAGTCTGAGGTTGGTTATATGACCCACCGACATGTTGCACACCCCTGATTTGAACTAACAAATGCACACTAAATAGAAAGCACCAATAAAAGGTCGAAGAAGAAAGACGATGTATATGCATATATACGTGTTTATGCTTTATGTTACCGACAAAGCGCCTAGATTTTAGCAAAATAGAATGACAATAGGATGATTTCATTGAAATTTATCGTTCTCAGCAGTGTAAAAAATGTCAGCATTCTCGTATTACCTTGTATCATTTTGTGATTATTATTATTGTTTAAAATTCTAACGAAAGCGGACTTCATATCCGAAGTATTTGAAGAGGTACTTTGAAATATAGCATATTCAATGGCTTGGAAAGAAACTATAATGACTATAACTCATATTCCTATCTTGCAGGTGCCTTTGGTCAATGGGCGACAAGGAAACGTTCCGTTGGCTTCCGTCGATTCTAATGAAACGAATGGAAACCGAACAAGAAAGAAACCATTAAAACGAGTTATCAGACATTATTTATTGAGCGCCAAACGCAGTTGGATCGATGTTTTTTGTATGTGGACTTGTTGCAGTCCGCGATGGGTGGTATGTTTCCCATGCCTAATTATAAGGGTTTGCAACATTTTTAAAAGAACGTCAGTTGTAGACTTCGCTTGGACAATATATTGTTTACGTTTCACATTTTGTTGGATAATTAGTCTGTTGAAAACTATCAGATCAGAACAATTTATCAATGTATAGTAAATTTCTTATTTCGCTTTTTGTACAGATAATTTGATTATATAAAACTACAACACCGGAATCATACGTTTCCAATTCCTAGCTCTTATTAAAATTTTATGCATTCTGAGTGGATGAAAAAAAACAGACATTTGAAATTATATTTGCCCCTCATAGTGACTGGTTTATCAAAATTTGAAATTGTGACATTAATTATGTGCCACGGCTGAATATTATGTTGGGATTGAAGGGTTGTGAATGACATGTTCAGGCATTTATACAATGCGAATTATTGAATGATTCTGTTCTTAAATTTGAATTATGTTTTTTTTTCTAGAAATTCCAAAGTTTTGTTCGAGGATTAGTACTAGACCCGTTTATGGATTTATTCATAACTCTTTGTATATTTCTTAACACTGTGTTCATGATGGCAGAATATCACCCCATGCCGAAGTCACACGAAAATCTGTTGGAGAATGCTAATCTTGTAAGACTTGCTTTTTGTAATGACATTTATTTGCATTGATGCACCTATGTAATTAACTCGCAATATAATTTAATTTGGGCACGGTACCAAACGCAATAGACCAGTAAAACATGCGGAGGATCGATTGTTTGCATTATTTGTCTTCCAATGTGTACACAATATGGAAATTACCACACGTAATTATTATTATTCAAGCGACGTGAATAAGTCTCAAATAAGCTCAAATTTCATATACGTCACAGACTAAATTCGTGATGTCTGTCTTATAAATGATAATATTTGCGTGTTTGTGGTAATAAAATTCAGAAACATTTTCTAGATGAATAGAGAGGTTAAATTCCGCAAATGAAGAAAAGTAAACAGCACATGTTCAATTTTTGCGTTTTCAAGTTTGTTTGTTGTAGGGGCGCGTAGTGTTTTTATCAAGGTGGTTTTAGAATTTGATATTTAATACCCCTCTGGTATTGGATTTTAGTGATTTCTTTTCGCGCTCCGTTAGTTGCCCTTTAAATACGCCTATTAAAATCATGCGTCGTAAGCCATCCTTATACATTTATTTTTTTATGTGAATTCACAAGTTTCTTCATAATCGAATATCTATATCATGGTAAGATACGTTTGAAAGGAATCATATCATTTTTCATGAGATATTGGATACAAAAAAATTATGTTTCCAGGCCTTCACCGTTGTCTTTACGCTGGAAATGTTTTTGAAAGTTGTTGGGCTTGGTCCACACACGTATTTTAGAGAAGCTTGGAACATGTTTGATGCTGTTGTAGTTATATCAAGTTTACTTGAAATTGTTCTCAAAACTATACCAGGCCTATCTGTTTTACGAACTTTCCGATTGGTGAGTCGATTTTAGGTTTTTATTTATTCCTTACTTCTTTAGTTGCAAGGTTTTGCGCGCCATGTATATATGCTTGTTATTGTCACATTTTGCCGTATTTAATTGCATTTACCGTTCAGTGAGCGTAGGTAATTTTCTTGAAAGCACCAGGAAAATAAGACAGGGCCTTTTAACAACCTGGTTTAACGCTCCATTGCATGTAAAATTGAATAATTGTTACTTTATTGCCCTCTCTGAAATAAGAATATCGTTTTAGTCATATCCAAAATTCCTGTGCTCAATTTCTTCGAAATTCGGCAAAGGAAACCACTTCGACAATGCAAATATTTTCTAAATCAGATTTTCTTTGCTGTATATTATCCCGAACGCGCTTACCTCAGTGAATTACCAGATTAATTCCCCTCTATATATTGAGAGTTCGCGAATGAGGCTTGTCTAACTGCAATGAAGACGTGTATGTATTTTTTCTCGTACAGATGCGGATTTTAAAACTCGCAAAATCGTGGCCTACACTCAACAAACTCCTACGTATCATCGGACGAACATTAGGAAAACTATGGCATCTCACCATTGTATTTCTCCTTGTATTGTTTATATTTGCAGTTGTTGGAATGCAATTACTAAGAGAAAAATATAAAACTGAGTTTGGGGTAAGTTTCTCTGGAATGACGCAACAAAAGTTGTTGTATCTGGTTTGAAGATCTGCCTTCGGTAATTATTTAATCGCGGCACAGATAGACTGTACCCTTATTTTGGTAATTCATATTAAAAAATCACTTGTTTTCCATTCCTAATAAAGTAGTTCGCACCAACCGCTTCATACTGTGCCACTTGGATGATTAAATTTGGGTTAATTTATTTCAACTCTATGCAGAACGTTTTAACTGATATATGAAACTAGCATGTTTGTATTTCTTCCCGATTGAATCACCGAACTTCATTTCTAATATATTTGTTAAATACTATTTTAGGATAATATGCCTAGATGGAATTTCGACAACTTCCCTCATGCTTTCATGGTTGTTTTTCGGATTCAGTGTGGGGAGTGGATAGAGAATATGTTCACCTGTATGAATGTGGCATCACCGGGAATTTGTATTCCGCTTTTTATTTTGGTACTGGTCATCGGAAACTTAGTGGTTTGTATAACCTTATCTATAATACTGTATGATATGATATGTCGGTTGAGTAATTATTAATGCGTCAGTTGTATATGAGGCACATACACAACACCCATACACAAAATATATTTGCAGTATAAACTTTTCACTAATGCAATATGACAAATTGCAAGTTGCCATTCGGGACCTGGGGATTCAGTTTGCCAACGTTCCTCCCAGAAAGCTGACAGGGATTGCTTGCATCTTATCAAAATTGTTTACAACCGTGTTGACATCTTCCCCACCAAATTGACGTCAATTAGTCAACCAGCTTTCTCTATCGATAGTTTCTTTTTATGACCGGAATAGGACCGGACCAATTTATTTCTCTATCTATGAATGGAATTTCGACGACGATTCAATAAGTAATTTGAGAAAATTTAAATAGTTTAACAGTGCGGTAAATGATATATAATAATTTACTACATGGTTTTCACCAATTTCACAGCATATTCAAGTTCAAACATAGTTCAAGTCATTTTAACGTTAGTTAGTTTTTTCACGATGAGAAAAAAAACGAATTTGCAAATCGGTGGTAGTGAAATGTAGACAAGCCATTGATCTTTCTATCCGATGATTTTTATTATTAGATTTTTTTCAACCGATTTGAAAGTAAAAATTATATATATAATTGATATTCAAACAGTAGTTCAATTTATTTCAGATACTTTTTTTTAGAATATAATTCATAGATGTTCAAGTCATTTTAAGGTTAATTAGTTTTACCACGATGAAAAAACGAATTTGCAAAATCTGTGGTAGTGAAATGTAAACATTGATCTTTTATCCGATTTTTATTTTTCAGATTTTTTTAAAACCGATTCGTAAATAAAAATTAGATATATATTATTGATATTTAAAACAATAGTTCAATTTGTTTCAGATTCTCAACTTGTTTCTTGCATTATTGCTTAATTCATTCAGTGGTGATGCCTTACAACGCACTGATGCTGAACCAAACAGTTTAGCAGAAGCATGGCAACGGATATTAGGCTGGATTGGAAAAGGGCGAAGAGCACTAAGGCATTGTAACGTAAGACTATTCTGTTTATGAAAAATTCCTTCATACTTCTATATCACCCTAAAACGTTAATTATGATGAGAAGCCTAATTGGCATACCAAATGACATTGGTTGGCTGTTATCATTCTTCATGACACAGGATAGCCATGTTACATAAAAAAAAAAATTTCTCATTTAAACATAATATGATTGTCTGAATGATTAGAATAAATTTATTCCATTAACATATACCACCACAAAGTTTGAACTCAGTTGTACTCAGTTGTACTGTACCCACTTTTACGCGAAAAGTCACACCGAAATTGAAGTGAACAGCTCAAGTTTTCCGGTAGTTTTTATTCAGTTCTACTGTAGCAATTCAACCAATTCAAATTGAAAGCTAAAAACGGAATGACGGAATGGCATAGACTCGCATGAAATTCGAAAACACGGTTATTTGCGTTACACAAAATAGGACAATTCAGAACAAGATCTGAAATTGCCTCTGAAGTAATGGTTTGAACATTCTTCACAGTTTGACTGTTATTTTCGGCTTTTATAGAAAACATTATAAAGCTCACTGATTTTTTCGTGATTTTGACACTATAGTTTGAATAGCTTTCAAAAAAATTGCTTTCGTGGCGGAATACCTGTAATTACATCAATGTGTGATTTTGTGACAGATCGTTACTCACTGCTGCAATAAAATTCGTCTTCAATTGTGTATGGGACAGCAGACAGCTAGAACAAACAAAAAGTGTGAAGTTGTGAAGAAGAAAAAACGAGAACAAGAATACAGGTCAAATCTGGGAATGAATTTATCATCCAATAGAACGGCGACGCTCTCAGAATGCGAACCACATATGCCTGAAATTAAGAACAATTGTCTTAATTCGGTTACTGCTCCTAGTATAATTCTGGGTAAGGTATTTATTATACTCCGTAAAAGCAATCACATAGATAGAGGTAAAAAGATGCTGGGGTCGGGGATATTGAATATGGATTCCAAACTTCCACATGATCTATGTAATGTTAGTTTATTCAATACGTATCAAATTATGTTACTCTAATCTAAATATTCATATTTGAAAGTAAAACCTTAATGTGTAAACCATTTGTATATATTTTGACATGATGATATATAATTATGTTCTCAGAACACGATACGTTTTTAATTTACTGTACTGTGTTGAAGTACACATATTTTATATTTGAAATAGTTTAAAATCTGGTAAAAAACCTTTTGCTGTGAATTTTAACACTCTAACTACAGTGGTTCTTAAATTTTTGAGCCGCGCCCCCTTTTGAAAAATTTCACAAACTTCGCGTCCTCCCTCTTTTTGCTTTGAAAAAATGCTTCTGTGATGGGCAGGTTGCTATATATTACAAAAGTGCTGTACGAGTGTTGGTCTCCTAGCGTCATTGCTCGGATTGTTTAGGCATAAAACGCTTCGGAGTACAACTTCGCCATTCACTGTCGTATGCATAAAGCCAAATAGTGGTCATCATATATTCTCGTTTTTCCGCTCAGTTTGCAATACCTGGTAAAGTCAAACTATTTCTTAGATAAAACTAAACACGCAATAAACGTATGCATAAATGTATTTTCGTTTACATAAGACACGTGAAATTTCAATCAATTGTTTACTTCATCACTATTGAGCAATGCAAAAATTATTTACTTTACTGTTTATTTACTAAGCAACAATTACAAACTTCTTAGCTTTCCTAACGTTTCCTAAATTCACTACCAATACATTTGGACAACCACCAGGTTAAAAAATACAGTTTACAAAATGGAGAATTGCGAATGAATTTATGTAAGTTTAATGTAAATCCAAAAGCAGTTCATTTTTTATTAGTTATTATGCATGTGGATGTTTCCCCGGCCCTCGATCGCTAAAAATAAAGTCGCTAAGGCCTTTGTATTTGCATTTTGTTTAAATCTCGATTGTTTTCATCAACGTGACGTTATTTAAGCTGTAAAAATTGCAGGGACAGCTCATATTGGTGTGATTTGCAGGAATACAAATCAAAACAAAATGTAATCGGGCACTTTGCCACACATTTTTTATGTCCGCGGATTACCGTGGTATTTTGGGGTAGTGGTGCTCTTATTTTATCGACGCAATCGCAGATTTGATTCATCACAATTAAATAAATAAAGCAACCATTAAATATGTATATCGGTCATGGATTAAATATTTTATTCAACAGAAAAAACATGACATATCCATTGAAAAAGTTGGGTCTTTCGACGAGTGGTGTAATCTCGATGACTGACTCAGGAGCCGTACCGCGGGGATTTCGAGCCGATGAATATGTATTTTCATCTACTAATATACTTTATATTTATTTTCATTGTACCAAATTAGATATACTTTCTGGGATATTTTACCAGATCTTTCTAACGACCATAACAAATTCGCATGAGCGCAATATATATCAAAACTAAATATAATCGGTCAGTTGATCTCGCATTTTTATGTCCGTGGATTGGCGTGGTATTTTAGATCGGCAATGACTGATGAGTTTATTTTGTCGTGAGTCGCCACAACCGCGAGTTACCTTGAACAAAAATGAATTGAAATAGTGAGACATTTTGAATTCTTGTAGTTGTCATAGATTGAATATTACGATACAGAAAAATTTATTATACCGCGAAAAAGCCGATCTTTTTATCAAACGCGGTTTCAAGAGCAGTTACATGCGATATTTTCGATTTCATCTTGTGACCTCTCGCGCCCCCCCGTGAGCACTTCGCGCCCCCCAGTTTAAGAACCACTGCTCTAACAGACCAATGGCACTTACTTAAGAAAGCATTTTTTTCAGGAAAAGTAAATTTGTCGGAATTGAAAAAAGACAGTTGTCATTCTAGTATGAGTATGCGTGGCGATAAGACAGACGAAACAGGGATTTTATGTGATAATTCCGATTCAGAAAAATACAAAACTGAAGAATTAATCAAAACACTTAACGACGGTGACGACCAAAATCACGATAAACACCACAGCCACTCTTTTCATCGCCATTCCATCAACAGTCGGGGTGCGAGCGGGACTATAAAACGTCGCAGACGTGATTTGACAAGTTCCAATATGAAAATAAGGTGTGACGGTTGTCATAGAGAGTACTCTGCTGTCCGAATACGGCCTGATAAAAGAAACCGCGAAAAAGTGGGCTTTGCACCCGCCGCCGCATTTCAAAATCGTGTGGACTCTCCTTCTCCGCCGGAGACCAGGTCAAATAGGGATGATGATATAGAACTCCCGCGGTTGCCAAGACATCCCTTTAAAGCTAGCATCGAGTATACGAGAACTTCGCATGAAGATCGAATTCGACCAAATGAAGAAAACGTAGCAAATGATAAATCGAGTTCTGTAGAAAACAGGTAACCTTTTTTCAATTACATTCTAGTGTTAATATGAGTACTGAAACTATAATTATAAAATATATTAAAATTTAATGCGTGGAATATACGCTTATTACTCACATTCATTTATTCTTACGTAGGTCTCGCTGCCAAAGTGGACAGTCTGAAAATGAACAGTCGCCCATTCCTGACCCGGTTAGAGTTGAAAATGTAGCCGGAGTGGCGCGAAAATATAGCGGTGCTGAAGAAACTGATGTTTTGATATGTGGCTACAAATCTGTACCATCTACGTCCGTCAAGCAAGTAAGTTCGAAATATTATCTGTAAAGCAAATAAATGAAAAGAAAATGATAACATGAGAAGAGAACAACAACAGTCACTTCTTGCGCATGTAATAAAAACTCTGTATTGACTCTTTCTATGCTTTACAAGTCTGATGTGACTAGGCATTCAAAATTGTCTCTTCAAGTTGAGATTGAGTCAAGGACGGCCATTTAATTCCAGCCATGACTTTCTTTATGACTGAGCATATGTAAATAGTTTCAGCTGATCTTCGCTGTAGTACTTGATTGCGTTTGGGTGACTTGAAGAGCTAGTAGTATTACTTTATAATTTATAGAATTGCCTTTGATCTATATATGGTTCCATTATTTCACTTGAATATTTATACTTTCGAATATTGGTATATTTCGTTTCCAGAATTCAACGAGATCATCTCATAAAAGTAGTTCGAGCGTTCGTTCTCGACGCAGCAAAGATAAAAGGGGTTTCGAGGAGGGTGATAAAAAACTTGAGGAAGCAGAAACGCCTAAGGTATATTTTACACTCAAAATTTGAGTAAATTTCGAAGGGTCGTTGAACCATGACCACTTGATCCACATTTCATAGATAAATCATTTCTACCTCTTGGGGAACAGAGACTATTTAATTGGAACCCATATCATTTTTGCGAAGGAATAATTTCTCACCACGTAACAAACGTACAACTGCTGGCAAAAAAACGTGAAACACTCCCTTCAACATTTTTAAAGCTATCCGCGGTGTTTCGAATTTGTTCATACAAGCACCGATCAGATGAGAATATTTCCTCATGGGCTTTTTTATTTTTGTATTCCACACCCTACCCCGACAACGATCCGAACATAGACTAACTCGAGTCTAAATTTTTATAGGATCATACGATATATTCCATGCAATGTCTCAACGAAAACAGTTCCCCGATTGCGCCGCTCGTTAAAACAGCCGATTTTTTCAGCGGTTGATGATTTTTTCTGACGTGCTAAATTTTTAATACATGACCGATTCGGCCATTTAAATTTTCTTGCTATATTAAGTTAATTTTGTTGTTGATCATCTTGAACGTATTTCTTTTCTTCTTTTATTGTGGAAAAATCGCTTTTCTCATTAACAGCCTGACCAGTTGTATTAAAATTTTCAGAGGTTAAGGATTGTCTTTTTGCTAGAAGGGTATTACTTTTATTTTTTCGTTTTTATGGGACTCCTTTACGTTGTGAGATGACGTGATCAGAATTTAAAAAAATTCGCACCTAGTGGCAATCCCGCGTTCGCGTTTGTTCTGGTGGTCGGGCGAAGTCGTGAAGACTGCGGTACCGGTAGTCTACTGTGACCCGCGGCCGTACTACTTCGTTTTGGCCTCCGTGTCGATATATTTGAGCATCGCTCTCCTGTTCGTAGTATTTCGTACCATGAATAACCACGTCAAACTGACCAAAGCAATTGGAGATTTCAACAAAATCATCCTTGTGAAAATCGCACGGAAAATCGCTCTGGCTGCGCCACTGGTCTCCGTCACTTTTTCTAACCACTTCATTACGATGAGATATAAAAACTTGCAATACAGGAAATTGAAATTCAGCAGTGCTTTCCTCCATTTTGGATAAATAAAACTGATGGAAAGTTTTGGAAAATTCGCCTGGTGTTCTATAATATTGCTGTACATCGATATTTTGAAAATATGGTGATTTTCTTCATTATGTTGAGTAGCGTTGCTTTGGTGAGTTATTTAATGTTTTTGTGAGTTTTCAATGATACATTAGACATATTAAATATTCAATATATGAATTTCAAAAAAGAAGTAATTTTATTTTTCAAATGCTGCCACTTTCACTGCACCAAGATTATAAAAACTCTAACTACATTTATGCTGATATTTTATTCATATTTTATCACAATAAGGCTTTTGAAGACATATATCTGCCGAATAAACCAGCTATGGCTCGAGTTTTGGATGTCCTGGATAAATTTTTTTGCATATTCTTCACCATTGAAATGTTAATTAAATGGACCGGATTTGGTATCAAGTATTACATTACCAACGGGTGGTGTATATTGGACCTAATAATTGTGTTTGTAAGTATACATTTTTGTTCAGAAACCTATGTTTCTATGTTCAAACTTAACATGATTTGATATTGACGCATAGAGACCCTTTCATGCAACTACGTTTATTATTTACAGTTTTCTCTTCTTGATCTCGGGCTGTCATTGAACGGGGGGGCGTCCGAACAACTAGCGTCTCTACGCGTACTGAGAACCTTTCGTGCATTACGGCCATTGAGGGCACTATCAAGATTTCAGGGAATGAAGGTTTGTGCATAAACTTTATCACCTCGATTCATAAATTTAAAGAATTACACAGTTTGTACATCGAATACTAATTTTCAATATATATGCAAAACCCAAAATGCAATCTCTATAAAATGGAGAGAAGATGTTCGAATGAATTTTGAATTCAAATTGGTGGGTAATAATCGGGTAATTATTCTTCTGTTGGGCAAAATATTTCAATCCCTGGCCGATATGAACATTCACAATATCTTGCTATAATAAAATCTAATTGTGTACAACGTAACTCGCGGTTGCGTCGACTTGAATCGAATTTGCGTCGAATAAAGCATAACTATTCTAAATTACCAACGCAATATGCGGGCATAAAACTGCGTGTAAACTAGCTGATATTATTTAATTTCAATGTCTATTTTTGCTATCTTGTGCATTCATTATCGTAGTTAGAAAATTCCCATGATGTGCCATACAATTCATTTTAGTACAATAAAAAATTAATCGAACATACTATACATTGAGTCTAAATTGATTAGCTCATGTATTCTCATAATCTGAAAAAAAAAATCAAGTGCGGATGCGACGGTCATTTTTAAGAATGGTTACAGTGTATACAAATCTTTATTTATCGTGAAACTCCTAAAACGTTTTTCGCTTTATTTGAAGTATTTCATAAAACCGTTTTACAGTCTTAGTATTCACTTCTTCTCACTCATTTTCAGTCGGAAATTTGAGTTCACTCCTTTAATTTTCTTCAGTGTTTCCCCGATGCTAGCTCAAAAACGTACACTGGACACAGAGTTGCCGGCGAAAAATATTAACTCATTACCTATGTCGTCGTGACACAAGATGTGCAAAGAAATATTTGTGAAATAGGGAGAAATTGAGGAAATAGTGTTAGACAAATTACTAATATTTACGGCCCGAATAGCCACGTCAGGCTGACGAAGACACTCGGCGATTTCAACAAAATTAGTCGCACTCGTTATTAGCTACTTTTTCTGTCTTTGTGAAAATTTTTAGGGGCGTTTCTGCATTGATTATAATGCCATGTGACTTTTCAATTCTTTGATTTCCATGGTATAACATTATGATTTTTTTTTTCGTTTTAGTATATTGAGCTAATTAATTCGTTCAAAGAAGGTATACTTTCAAGTATATCATATTTCGCTTGCAATTGGTGAAATTTTAAACTTTGTGTTAGCAGAATTTGAAATTTAATTTATTTTGAATTTGCCATCAATTGGGATATAGCCGTGCTAGATAAGTAAACTGACTCATGTTGTTCATCAGACATGTATATTTATCTCCGTAAAATGGGATGAAAACCATGTAGTTGACTGGGTTTTAAAAGGGAATAATCCGTATGTTCCGGATGCTCAGAGCTTTCCTCGGGTATTGAGCACTGTTTAATTTTTGGAAAATTTGATCGTCCTAATCACTGATTATCAAAACTTATATTTTGGGAAACCACTCTGGAAAAAAATGACGGCTGATATAATTAGCGTGACACTGAAAAAATGTGTCAGAAACATTTAAAGTAATCAGACAACGAAAAATTGTTAAAAATATTGACTAGGTATTTTATCAGTAATATCAACTTATTTAGTGATTTTGTGCTATAAAATAAAACTATAGGTCCTGAGGAAAATATTGAGTTTTGGAACAAAAGGTTGCCGAAGTGACCGACGTCTTTGAAAAGAGACGGTTACCGCTACCGGGGACAAAATAAAAACTTTATTTTCATTTCTTAAAAATAATATTTGCTATTCCAAATTAATTAAGCAAGAAATACTACGTAAAAAATATGATGGGCATATACAGGTTTTAAACATGTGGCATACTTTGTTAATGTTTTGTAGGTTGTCGTGGATGCATTGGTTCGCGCAATTCCTTCAATATTCCATGTGTTTCTTGTCTGCATTATCGTATGGCTCATATTCAGGTAATATTATATAATTGACTTGTTCCTACTTTTATGTTATTAATGCATGGCTTGTCCGGGAAAGCTATCATTTCATGGATATTCTATATTTGCCATAGGTTTGTACTGACTTTTGTTTTTTTTTTACAATTCCAGCATTCTTGGTGTAAATCTCTTTGGTGGGAGATTTGGCAGATGTGTCATGTTTACTGGAAGTTCAGGAGTGATATTGCCAAGACCAGATAATTCCAGTAACAACAGTGTTTTTTTAGAAATTTCTGATATGTGCCTCCCCAATATGACATTCCCTCTCAACGATTCTTCTATACCTGCAGTCAGGAACAAAGTAGAGTGCTTGGAATGTGCCAGATTGTAAGTTCGTCAATGTTTCGAATTTCGATATGACTTTTGGATCGGCAATCGTCTCATTCTGTTTTAAATATCTGCTTCACAAGGTCTGAAATCATGTTATTTATAGAGAGTAAAAAAAATCCAAAATTTCATGAAAAGAAATCTGTTTCAATCGTACAGTGGTCCAAAATTATTACAATCTGTATATTGTTCACCCTCAATAATGATTAATATTTACTAATATCCCAAGTACCAGACCATTCTTTAGTTTTCATATGGGAATGGTAGTCTTTTACTACCATTCAATTATGGCTTTCAATGTATTTTTCCCATTTTCAACAATATATCACATGTATGTGAAAGAAAAATTAATTGTAAATCTTGAGTAAATTTTGGTGTGCGCAATTCTTGGAAAAGGGATTTAAAACAGACATTGTAAGACTTCGCAATTGTGCCTGCATGTTCCATTATATAATGAACCCAATACTTGCCATAACCAATGTTTTCCAAAAGTTCTGATTTCATTTATTACATCGCTTTTTTGATTCGAATGAAATATTTTCATGTACTAGAATGAACACATCGAATATTCAGTGGATTGTACCTAGCATAAACTTTGACAACGTTGGTCAAGGGTTCTTGGCACTTATGCAAGTAAGAAATTTTCCTAATTATCAATCATGTCTAAATAAAAAATGAATTAATGCGTATTGTGCTTGTGCTTACAAAAAATTCAATGAATTTCGAAAACTGTTATGTTAGTAGGTAGTTATCATATAATATGCACAATATTACAGGTGGCAACTTTTAAAGGATGGCTTGAAATTATGGCGAATGCAATAGATATTATGGGTATTGAACAGCAGCCTTCATATGAAGTTTCATTTGAGAATTATGCGTACTTTTGCATTTTTATTATTTTTGGAGCATTCTTCTCCCTCAATTTATTCATTGGTGTCATCATAGATAATTTCAATCAGCAGAAAGTTAAATGTGCAGGTATGTTTAGTACTTCATTTCGTGGTTACAGTATTTATTAAACAATGTAAACATTCCCGCTGTAAAAAAAAATGCTTTAGAATTCGGTTGAACAAATACAGAAGGCAGGATCAATCAGGAACATCGTTGTGATTCCACCTCTTTATGTAATCGTATCTGAGATGACAATTTGTTTTCAAGCAATAACTCAAGTGCATAGACGTTTGCAGTACTTTGCTCAGCGAGTCATTACGGACATCGGATAATCCATGTCTGCTCAAAGCTGGGTATTTTGATTTCTCTGTATTACCAAGATGTTCTTCTGCCTTTATGTGCGGGCAGATTTTCATACTTTGTGTAAATTACACGAATGTAGATTTGAAAAATTCCTAGACGCGGGAGTCTTTATTTAAATCTATACTTTATATTTTCAAAAGAGATTGTACAGGCCATCGGAGCCTAACACGTGTAATGCGAAAATAGGGCATTTTCTTTATAACGTTTGTCTCGTTTAGGTGGAGAGGACGGAGTTTTTTTGACGGATGAGCAAAAACGTTACTACAATGCAATGAAAAGAATGGCGGCAAAAGCACCTAGTAAACCGATACCTCGACCTAACTCATGGTTCCCCAATAAGGTATGTTTAAGTGAGGATTTCATAATATCAGAAGTATTGTTGTCCGAGGACAGGCGGTAAATATACAAATCCAACGTGTCAACTTGATACTGATTTTTTACACCTTGATTAAAATTGTCTTATAAAACCATTTACCGATGTATTCGTTCTATCTCTGCGACAACTGAACAATATTTTCCATTCAGTGTAAATTATTTGAGAAAATATTTCCCGCATATAGGACTTTCAACGTCGTTATCGTATATAAAATTCAAGGTCGTAGCATGGAAGTCTCATCCTAAATACGATTTAGTCTACATTGCTTCTAGATTACCAACTGTAATTACCACTTGTTTTCGTAAATAATGACACGGCTCGAAGGTGTAGTGTATGGCATGTAATTTGTCTTTCTTCATGATTTTTAGATCTACGATTTAGTTACTGACAGAAAGTTTGAGATCGTTGTCATGGCAATGATCTTGTTAAACATGGTAGTAATGGCTGTTGAACATTATGATATGAGCCAGGAAATGAGCGACGTCTTGGGAAATTTCAATTTATTTTTCATTTGTAAGTATATTCATTCTATTCTCTTGCGATAATTTAGGCTTTGTCGGTCATTCACTCTTAGTTAAAAACATATTACAAAGGTTGCGAGCGATGAAGATGCCAAGAGCTACCGATTATACCGTATACCGTGCCGCCTGGTATACATTAATTTCTATTTGAATCGCAAATATGCCAATGGGCAGTCGGTGTTCAGAAACTGGCTCAAACCTTTCGAATAACTTCATAACTATCTGTACATTGGGTAATATTACTGTTTTCAGGCATATTCTTCGTTGAAGCTGTTTTAAAATTGATCGGTCTTCGTTGGTATTATTTCACGGTTCCGTGGAATGTATTCGATATCATCGTTGTTGTAGTATCCATTATAGGTAAGTATATCGTCGCCTTGAGAGGAGGCATACTAAGACGATCCTTACCGGGCCAAAATTCATGTTTGACGTTTAGTCGTGCATTAGCAATTCACAAATTGTGCACTGTCGTTGAACTTAATAAACCACGACTAACGTTTTTATACATTAGTTTTGGACCGGCAACACTGTTTGGAACAAAGCAAAATGTCATTAATTAATATTGTCACAAATTCTATTTGCATCTAATATTTGATGTAGTTTTTACGGTCATAAATATTATATTTATACTTTCTATTGTTGCTTGTTGGTTATTTTGTGGATGTATGCATATGCCTTAATATCATTCCAACTGTGGAATTGACATACCTCTTTGCTCATATGTATGGGTGCGATAGTCGAGCGGTCGCCCATATGGATTTTATTTACTCGTTTTCTTTTTTGCAATTTCTTCATAAATACCGTCCTGACTGCGTAATAAGGTGACCGGGTATGTTATGGGCTGCGATCAAATGTGCTTCAAAAGCTACCCCATCCAACGCGAGTTGAGCGAACGTCCAAGCCTAAAGACTTAGCTTGAATTAGCTGAGATAACCCAACAAGTTCAACAACTTTGCATCCAATGATAAAGACTAGAAATACTAACAATGGTTTCTCTTATGTAAACTTATGTAAAACTTATGTAAACGATTTTCATCAACACTCGTAATTCTAAGTATTGCGGGTTTCAAGATATATTATTTTCACCATAGCATCGCATAGTAATGGTACATCAGGTGCAACATAAATGCTTAAATAATAAGTGTACGCTAATTCCTGACTTTTTTATTATTTGTGCGCTTTTCTTTGATTAATACCCTGATCGGCTTTTTTCATAGATAGATCATACCACGAAAAATACGATTTTAATGTTTTGAATAACTATCATCGTCATCGGTAGCGCAGACTGCACTCGCTGTATTCTTAGTAATTTTGTTTCCGCGATAACGGCACCAAATATAATGTTTGTACAGATATTGTGGCAAACTACATCTTTTCGGATAGGAATATTTATGCAGGTATAAAAATACGCCTGGTGCATTATTAACGTGTTAATACGATTGTTTTTCCTTCAGCCAATAGCAATATCTAGAAAGCATCAACCCTTTCCTATTATTTCTAAAAAACAAATACATCATAAATCTAGTGAATAGAGAAAAAATCGCTATGATGAGAATGTTTTAAAACGAATGCTCTCTTGCTCTCCAGTTATATATTGATTGCTATTCGGGTCATTTTCAAAAAATCCTATGTCTAAACTTTATTGATGATAATTTCAAGAAATGTACAAATTCAACATGATTAAAACATGTATGTGACTATCTGCATGCAAAATGATAGTGTCCTGTTTGTCGCAAAGCCGTGTTGCCGTGCCGTGTTGCACCACAATTTGCATTTGAAAACTTTTTTTTTTCCAAATCTAATTTGCTGTTTATCCCATTAAAGAGTTTGGAACAGGATCGATAATTTTGTTCAAAATCAGCAAAGACACTTTATAACTTGTGCATGATCTACTAATTCTAGTTGATATACGTCTTTTTAATTTTCTTATAAAACCTCATTGCTCAACACTACATTTTATTACTGCACATTGCATAAGCTATTTCGTCGTTACAATCATATAAACTTTATTTGATTACTCCCAATGACATCGTTTTAGAATTTCCTATGATTTTATTTTTGCAAAGTGTGGTGATGAGGCAAGTTGTGAAAATAAAAACTATTATTATATTAACAATCCCTGCCCGTTCCTACGACATTAGTTTTTGTTGAGTAACATCATAGGACAACTTTTCGCCATTCTTCACAAACAAACAAACACGTAGACGTAGACCCTGTGATTTCATTACATCTCTTCATATAATGCTGCTTGTCGCATATCTTTTTTTAATTTCATTAAACTTAAACAGCCGAAAAAAAAAGTTTCATATATCGTCGTGCCTTTACTTGACAAATTTTCAGCTGTCTTGAATTTATTGGAACCGATTCTTAGTGATACACAAGGTCTTTATATAAATTATTAAATGTCAGATTGCTTGCGACGGAGGTGCTATTATAGCAATGAATGTGCACGTTTTTGATCAAAAAAATTGATTCGACAATTCTGTTTTGCATGTTTACGTTGGGCATGAAAGGTGTCGCCATTTTTAATAACAAACTTTTTGGCGCAATTTGTTATATTGAGTAGCCGGAAACACTTGCATGCACTAAACGTGTAAAGCGTCTTTTCGCACGTCGCCGCATCTCATTTGCGACTTGCTAACATTTCTATGCGTGCGCGGGAATCCCAACTTTCGCCTTATCTCTCACAGTCAAATGCCTCTTCACAGCTAGCGCGCTCAGTGACGCTATTGAGAAGTACTTCGTGCAACCAACTCTGTTTCGAATCATTCGTCTATTTCGCGTCACTAGGATTCTGCGACTCATCAGAGAAGCAAAAGTAAGTAAAAATCTTTGGACTTGATTATTTTGTATCAATTATAATCTTCTTGTATCAATTGTGCCACTTGCTTCGTGTCACGTAGTATCTAGAATGTGATTAGTTAATTACCATTTAAATTTTTTTTTAAATTGTTTCAATCGTTTTGATATTTGTTCCAATACAGTATATTCGCGTTTGTTACGCATGTATGTCCTGTGATCAGAATGCCGATCATAGTCAAAAATGGTATAGCCAAAACATCACCAAATTCCTACTTGTTCTAGATAAGAGACTCTTACGGGACTAACAATTTTGATGGTAATAATATTCTTCAACTCAACAAAAATGGCAATATACTAATGTAATAGATATCGCACCTAAATTTTGATGACACCCTATTTTTACAGACTCTCGGTTCTCTTCAGCTTTTTTATGATACCTTTAATAATAATTTTTGTACTAACCGATTTTCTTCTGCCAGGGTATTCGCACGCTTCTTTTTGCGCTGATGATGTCGATTCCGGCCTTGTTCAACATCGGAAGTTTATTATTCTTGGTTATTTTTATCTATGCAATTTTGGGCATGTCTCAGTTCGCTTATGTACAGAAGATTGCTGGTGTTGATGATTTGCTTAATTTCGAAACTTTTCCAAACGCATTTCTCGTACTTTTTCAAGTAAGTCCCTATTTTAATATTTAAATTTTATTGTCCGGAAAACGAGGCAGATGGCTTTTCTTGTAGGAGTCCGCGAGCGCCTGCAAAGCCTTCTCTGCCTGATTGAAATACTTGACTGCTGTAAAAGTAAATTTAATTCACCGAAAGATGTATTAATTTAAACTAAAATCTCCTGTCCACTTTTTTATTGATCTCCCCTTTGGTGTTACGCTCAAGTAAAGTATTTTTAAACGGGAGAATTAAACCAATTGGTTTTCAGCAGTCAATTTGTCTTTCTGGTGGAAGAACCAGAGTTGTTAGAGCCTGCAAGTAGTCTTCGTAATGCGTTTTGCATCCCGCCTAATGTAAGGCGGGTGTCATAGATAATGTTTATCCAATTTTGCGTCAACTGTGTCTACCTATTTGCAGCTATTAGTTTAATATACCGACTATAAATAACCTGTAAGTGTAACCGCCACGTTTACTGGTGTACGGAGAAGGGCTATGATCCCTTATGACAGTGGTTCTCAACCTTTTATGACTCGTGGCCCCCTTTCGGAGGCTTTTAGCACTCATGGCCCCCACTTTAATATTCCAGAGGTATTAATAGGGTTATTTTCATTGATAGATTCCAAATCCCATGATGTTAAAACAATTTGCACAAAAGAGAGCGAAAACACCCTGCGAAATAACCTTGTTGAGCAGCAAACTAGAAAAAACTGTGAGATTTCTTTAAAGTGAAAAGTAAATTCAGATTTCAGCCCATCTTTGTGGCCCCCCTCCAACTCCCCTGTGGCCCTCTTAAGGGGCCGAGGGCCCCCGGTTGAGAACCGCTGCCTTATGACATTTTTTATTGCAACTTGATTTTAAATTTAAGTTATAACGCTTGCATGGTGAGGGAACTAGATTGTGAGCCTACCACTCATATCATTCGGTTGATTAGCCCCATCATATGACTACTCTACGTGCAAGGTCATAATAAAGCGGACGGGCAGCATTCACTCATTTGCGATCAAAAATTTATCCCCACTAGCGGGCCACCCTCTGATTGTGGGAAATGCTGCAGCTACGTCGAACCAACAGTGAACTTTTGCCGAAGTGTGCGTGTTTCGGCAATGATCCTGTTTTGTGCTTTTGGCATCCGGCATGCAGTTTACAATCCTCCATAGATGTGACGTTCTAATCACTTGCCATATGTCGGATGTGGACAAAATTTAATTGAAGTCTAATTTCTCAAGTAGAAAATTTACTCTAGAAATTCCCAACTTACCATAAATTTGCTACAATATCCAATTTATGCTGTTCCGTACTGTGAGCAGTAACGTAATTATCCATTGGCTAAGAATTAGGGAATTGATTTATCGTTTTTAGGTTTCTACATCAGAAGGTTGGAACACTTTTATAGAGCCCATACTACGCGATAAGCCACCGTCTTGCGATCCTGATATTCCAAACAGAACCGGCAATGGCAATTGCGGAAATGCCACGGTCGGTAAGTGCATTTAAACTTTTTAATGGACTAGACTAGACGAATTTACAAAATTCTCTCATTGGAACACGTATGAAAGGTTTAGCAGTAGTCTGTGGGATATAATTGCTATTTCTCAATTCTAATAACACGATTCAATTTTTCCAGGTGTTGCTTATTTTGTCACATACGTCCTTATCACCTTCTTGATAGTAATCAACATGTATATAGCAATAATTTTGGAAAATTTTGAAGTGGCCACCAGAGAAAGTTCCGAACCGCTAACTGCGGATGATTTCGAACAATTTTTTGAAGTGAGTGTCTTAAGTTATTTGCTCTACTCCAACAACATCCTTATTTTCTGGACTTGCGCTTTGCAAACTAAATTTGTTTTATTTTTAAGATTTGTTCCTATTTGTGAGCTACGTCCTCATTTTATCAATGAAAATTTTATCAACGTAAATTTCAATGTTAAAACACAAAGTATACACGTGTTATTGATTTCGAGCTGATAGAAGCCCTGCTTCATTCTATAGTTGATATATCCGGGAATGGCACACATTTGTATTCCCCGTGGGACAGTAGCCATGTCATAGCAACTTGATTACGTCAGAGCTAACCTTAGTCTTTAAACTTTTTTTTCACCTTTTAAATGTTTTTTCACTTCACCAGTGTGCGAATATTGATTGGTCATACAAGTGTTATCGGCAGCAGTAGAGCGCATATTTAGTGCCGCTAGATTGTTGTTGAGTAAGTTACGAAAACAGGTGTTACCTGTTCCTGTTATAAACTCTGGGTACATCAGATTTGCATGTACTGTAACATGAAAATTGGGGAAATGGTTCAGTAATTACCCAGATCAACTGAATTATTAGAAACATGAGTCGATGTCGATGAGCAGGAAATTGATAAGTTGCTGAATGAGCAAATAGAACAGTGTTTCCCAACCCGAGTCCGCGGTCTCAAATGAGTTCGCGGAGCGTTTGAATGAGTCCGCAACGACCCAGGAATTCAGCCACGTTGCGATTTACGCTAGAATTTACATAAAACATAAAAAGCAAGTTTAGTAACATAACATCAATCGAGTCAATAATTACTGGTTACTGAGTATATCTAGGCATATATTCAAATATTCAACTATTAGAATAGCAATTTACTAGTCGAAAATTTGGTAACAGGTGACGCGATAGGTCACTTGCGCTCAATCAGACGATTGGATTTCACGGTGACCGTGCATTTGAACCCATATACATTTGAACCCATGTGTATATCCGCGGGTTAAATCTATATGCGAGTGCTAAACCCATGGGTTCAAATATCCGTAAAACAAAAACAACATTTCCATAGGTTAGATAGTATGCAGGTGCAAGTGTCGTGGGTTCAAATGTACGTGGGTTTAAACGTAATGGAACCGGATTTCACAACTCACTTGCGGATTTCCGACGAGAACACGAATCTGCACACACTTCGGTAAATACCTGAGTGGTGTTTCTTGCGAGTTCTCACAACGAGGAATATTTTTTTTTTCTGGTTGTCAATGGTGGCAACCCAAATTTTCTAAATAGAAAAGCGGCAATACAAAATACCAAAAATAAAACGAAGAACACCATAAATTTTGTTTTATGATGGTCCGCGCCCGATTAAAAACGCTTTTTAGACATTGCAAATACCGAAATTTTGGATGCTACCGTACCAGGGCATTTTCCCTTAGGATTCTTTGCTTTACTGCCTCCACATTGGTACGTACTGTACTGCCGTAGGTGTTGTACAAAGAGCTCAGATTTGACGAATTCACAAAAATACGAATCAAAACAAAATATATTCGGGCACTTTACCACGCATTTTAGTGTTCACGGATTGTCATCATATTTTCTGAGTAGTATATATTGCTTTTATTTTGTAAACACAACCGCAGATTAAAATGACCACAATAAAATTAATAATAAGCCATGGCGATGAACATGTATTTTTGATTTACTAATATACTTCAAATATATTTTTAAGAAGTACTAAATCAAGTTGTACTTTCTAAAAATTTATAGCAGATAGTAGGATTTTTCTAACGGCGATAACAAATTCGCAAGATCGCAAAAAATATGCATCAAAACTAAGTATAATCGGACAATATATTCTCATATTATTATGTTCACAGATTGCAATTGTATTTTAGAGAAGTAATGCTTTCATCTTGTCGTAATTTGATGCAACCGCGAATTATCATGAACACAATTAAGTTAAAATAGGAATTCATCTTAAATTCTCGTCGTTGTCATGTATTGAATATTGTGCGACAGAAAAGGTCATTGTTGAATTTCGTTAAAATTCTGTTGTGTTCGTTTTGAATGCCTGTTCACACATAGTATACGGTTGCAATAAACGCATATTGAGTCCGCAAAGGGTTTTGCCGGTGAGAAAATAGTCCGCGACCAAAAAAGGTGGGGAAACACTGAAATAGAATAAGAGTGTCAGAAAGATACTGCATTGTTATAGTTAGACAATACATCTGATTTTTGAAGTCTATGAGAACGGAAGCATGGTGACAATTCTGATTCTGATGTGAAGTTTTAGCTGAAGACATGGATGTATATAATGCTACATTTTTCCGTGAAATGAAGTTTCAAAGATTGTCCGCTAGGCTAAAGCCAATCGTCTATACCTGGAAAAAAGCAGGCCTAAAATATTGAATATTTTCAAACCAGGGTGTAATCAGAATGCTGGATGTCATTTCTATTTTTTATTTTTAACTGGCTGATAGTTGTGAAGCTGACCTGACCGGACCGTGTCCTCTTTGTGCTCTCCAACATACGAATTGATTTTCAGGTATGGCAACGATATGACGATCGGCTGTCACAGTTTATTACATTTGAACAACTTCAACATTTTCTACATCATCTTGACTTCCCTCTTCGAGTTCCATTTCCCAACAAGGCATTTATAGCTAACGCTCGAATGAAAATTACACCAAACGGGCGAGTTCACTGTCTTGAAGTAATAATAGCGCTTATAAAAAAGGTAAGGTTAAATAGAAAATTGTTCGTTACCGGTAGAAATGGAATTCAAACATCTAATGTACGATATGCATCTGTTATGAGAAAGTCAGCAGTAATATTATAATAAGCACTATTTTGCCTCCCTGTCACGTGCACTGATTTGAGAAGGTACGACGTGTTGATATGTTTGTTGTACTAACCTGGCATAAGATGGTGTTTAATTTGAATTACGAGTCTAGCGCTAGCACGGGTATTACGGTATCGATATCCGAGTGATTCATTTGTATTTTCAATTGAATATCTTCATGGTTATTATAAGTTTTGGATAAGGTGTTCAAATATTTGCCCTCTCTTAAGTATTCAGAACATAGGTCGTACTGGCTGCTATCCTACCACGTATTTTGAAAATCTCCAAGGCCCCAGCAACGATTGCTCATATCTGTAAAAAAAGTCTTTATAATATATGAAAAAAAATCGAAGTACAGTGTATACAATCTACACATCACAGTTTGATCATCCACTTGTCATTTTGTATGGCACCGCAGGTACTTGGAGACTCCCCAGAACTTGGTACATTTAAAAAGGATATGATGGAATCTTTCATGTTAAAATGTAAAACGAAAGAACCGTTAGAAGAGGGAGATACTATTGATACGATGGAATACATTAAGCGTCGAAGATCAGCAATTGTTATACAAAAAGCATATAGAAAATATAAGTAAGTGATTATATGTTTTTCTTTTATTTCGGAATATATATATAGTCAGCCACAACATGAAATATAGGACGTGCAAAAATCGGCATTTGTTATTCGAAAAGCCTATAAAAATATAAAATGATACGAGTCTAATTTTTTCCCATACCTATCTGTAGCTCAGATCTTATCGGGAAAGGGTTCTCGTAGCCCAACCTTGTGTTGATTCACCATTACCTAGTAATTTGTATATATTGATTTACATTTCTTGGGGGTATAAATATCGTCATGCTTGAATACATTATAATTACATATGCCAACTTTTAAGGTGCGAACAACCGGAAATAGATCTCAACAGACCGTTCGCGTTAAACGAATGTCAGTTCACTGATAGAAATTCCTCGTCGCCTACTACGTCAGAATCCGAAGAAACTCTTTGACGAAGCAATCTCTTCGGTTTCATGCGCTCGGAGCAATATTTCAAAAATGCTTTTATGTTACTAGGAACCACGTTCATTAATATTTTACCTTTCGCCGTTTATCCATCGAACCTCAAGTTATTTTTTATGTTTTGGAAATTAGCTTCTTGCATGTGAATACTTCACATTATCCTAGTGGCTCCTTCCATGTTCCCCTTTTTTCATATGCGACTGGCAAATTATCTACCCAATATGGCCAATTTCTTTGTTAATAATTTTACACATCAGTGCGATGCAAATATAAGAATAAGTGTAAGATATTAGGATTCAACTTGTAATGGATCATCTGGAATGCCCGTACATTTTGCCTATACTATCACACAGTCCGTACCACATTGATCATTTTAGGTACGGGCGATATATGCGCCATGGAAACAGCGTTATTACTTTCTCGATTAAAAATTTTCAGTTTTATTCTTTATATATTGTAATAGAAATATCACATATACTACTTGTATGTATTAAAAATGATTTAGTAAACTGTTTTTTCAATTTGATTTTTTAACTTTTTAATAAAATATTCACTCACTAATTATATGACCAACAGCTTGTAGAAAATATTTTGTGTAACTAAGGACGAGGACATATATATTTTAATTTATGCACTGCTATTGTTAATTTATTTTGTCATAACATAGGCCTTTCCACATATATACAGAGTAATAGTATATATATATATATATATATAAATATATATATATATATATATACGCAGTGGCGTATCTAGGGTGTGGCAGCCATGGCTCGTGCCATGGGCGCCGTTTGGACAGGGGCGCAAAAAGGGCGAAAAGTTTCAATCGTTAAATGTTTCAATAAAATAATTTCGAATTGGTAATTACTCAACTCGTAGTTTTACTCAAATAATACCGTACAATTCACTTATTCCCTTGAGTGTCATTATAATTTGTGAACTAACTATCAAGGGGGGCGCATTTTCAAATTTTGCCATGGGCCCAATTTTATGTAGATACGCCATCGTATATATAATAGAATTAAACATAAACAGCAAGCAAATATCCCACACTTTCAATCGCTAATATGACTTTGAAGTATGCTTTTTCGATAGAAGTATTTAGTCATATTCTTTTAACGGTCCAAATTTGAGAGGTATAACCATATTTACAAGATTTTGAGCATTTCACATATTATGCCATGGGTTGGCATCTACCGTGTGTAAATTGAGTGAAAAATCATACAGTCCGAGCCACGGTACTTGTGGAACTTGCCCGAGTAGTAATGTACCGTTGATTAGTGCCGAAGTTTCAATGGCGCATAAATATCAAGTTTTATTTGTATAACACAAATGAAAACGGATTTGCCTGGTTTTCTGTAATATGGTTTGCGGCGTGTGGATGACCAATTGAGAAAGGGTCAGGTTATACTTTCCAAGGTTTGTTCAGAAAAGCAAAGCTCTTTAGTTAGGTATTATTATGTGATGTGTGTGGTATTGACCCGTATTAACTGCTTTGTGTGGCGTACCCAATTGGGCGCAGATAGGTATCACCACCGAGGTTCTTTCTGCCAGCATCCTGAACAGCGGAACTGCTGTATATTTTAATCAATCTCTTTGCGGCTCCAATTCCTTGACAACAACCAAAAATACAACGCTAAAAAAATTGCAATGGCACTGTACTGAAACAATAATATCAGTCTACTGTCTAGCATAAACACATCTAACGAATCCCCATCCCGCAGTCACAAAACCACAAACAAACATCCCTGATAACTAGGGTTACCATATTTTTGTGACTTTAAAGCGGGGCACCTCACAAGACAACTACTCATTAGCTGTGATTTTGTAACTTCACATTTTACTACATAGCCCTACATTTATAGCTGTCCCGGCTGTCTTTATTGACCATATTGTTATCAAAATTTCTAGCGCATATTCACTGTACAAATATCGGGTTCAGTTCGAAAAAAAGAAAAGAATTGACGGTAACGATACCGGTACAAATAAATCGAAATTAGACTAATTGGTATGGATTTTACATGCGATACGTCCGCTAATAATGGGAATCAGCGGGAAACAAACGCCACACACCTTCAGTAAGTAGGCTAGCGCTGCGCTACACAGAAACAACAGTAACGAGAACATGTTTGTTAGATCTGATCTCGCACGCCTCACACTTTCGTTCATTTATATTTCTCTATTATATTGTAGCGTACCGGCAGTCTATGTAATAATTATCCAAATTTAGAATATCTTCCAAAATGATCTGACGTCAAGTTTCCTCCCAATATTCACTTCAATTTATACTATTTTGTTCTATTTATTAATTACAATCTTAATACAACCAAATACTCCAATGAAAATAAACGAAGCAGAAAGAGTACAACGAAAATCCCAAAGATACACAACACTTTAACAGCACTGACAATAACCAATTCCGTAGTACAACCTATAGCAAAACAACTGCAATTGCGCTACACTCAAACAATAAAATCAAAAATAAACACCCTGGGTACCCTTTTCAAGAACTAACATCAATTTACCAGACACAAGAAAAACCTAAAACATTAAGAATCCAACTAAAACAACCACAACTGCACTGCTACAAACCACAGCATAGGCTGACAAGACACCAAAGACAGGTCGACAGTGTTACAGCGCCCTCAGGGTCTTCAGTGTTAAAAATACAAAATATAGCAATATTATCACATGACATCATTAAAAGACAAAACAAGGGTGATCACATTACCCCCCTCTTCTAGAAGGAACATTATGAAAGAATGTTTTCATCTTCATTAGAAAAATTAAACAACGAAAGAAGCAGTAGTCAACACAAAATATTTACACAAAGTCTTTAAAATATGCTGGTTGTCTACGCTCACGGTTAGACATCCGTAAAGTTTGTCCTTCTGGATTGGGCAACTCGTACCAAGGTATTATTTCCTCACAAGGCTGAAGATCCGCCTCTCCTGGTGTGTGTTTCGCAGAATTCGCCTCTTCCGATGTCTGTTCCCCCGAATCCGGCTCTTCTGGTGTGTTTTCCCCCGAATCCGCCGGGCTATCATCTAAGAAAGCACTTGGTTCCTGGGTCTCTTCATGAATAAAAGGTCGCAAATTATCCACATGAACCACACGCGTCTTGTCGCCTGAATTCCGTTGTATCTCATAAGTGTGATTTGAGAGACATCTCCTAACTGTAAAAGGACCCTGCCATGGAGAACTCAGCTTCTTCTTCTTGGGTGGTAATAGTACCATACAAGGTCTTCCTCTTCAAACTTCTGTGGTTGCACATGAACATCAAAATTTCTCTTCTGTCGCAAGGCAGCTTGATTCAAATGATTTCTGGCACATACAAAAGATTCCTTAGTGACATCTTTAAACCATTCCACATATTCGGTATAACAAGAATGTAGAGGAGTTTGAGTCGGACGCCCATACATGACATCGATAGGGAGGTCAATCTCTTGGCCAAGCATAAGACGATTGGGTGTAAACTGCGTACTTTCATGCACTGTAGCTCTGTAAGCCATGCACAGATAGGGAACATGGTCATCCCAATCGTCTCGATGATCGTTCACATGAGGCTTGAGCATTTGCTGAATCGTTCGATTAAACCTCTCTACTTGTCCATCGGATCGAGGGTGATAAGGTGTCGTATGCGTCTTGACTATACCGTGCAAGTCGCACATCTCGGTGAACAACCGAGATTCAAAGTCTCGACCCTGATCAGTGTGAATAATCCGAGGAACTCCAAATCTTGCGAAGAACTGGGTGACCAGCACATCGGCTGTTACCTCTGCAGTCTGATTGGGAAGTGGATAACACCTCACCCACTTGGTGAAATAATCTGATTGCACCAGAAGATGTTCATTTCCATTCCTGGTACGTGGTAGTGGTCCCAAAAAATCCATGTCGACCCGTTCCATGGGAGATCCGCAGAGCAGTTGTCGTAGATCCCCCTGTTTGCGCCCGTGAGTCATCTTAGCCGCAGCGCAAGGTTTGCAAAACCGGCACCAGAGCAAAATATCTCTTTTAAAACCAGGCCAGTAAAAACGAGCACGAACACTCTTGAATGTTTTAATAGAGCCTAAATGTCCGGAGGTACGGGCACTGTGTAAATGCTGTAAGATTTCTCTTCTCAATGCCCAAGGAATGCAAAATTGATAAACGGGAGCACTAGTCAATGTTTCGGGTTACCACTTGCGATACAAAATTTCACCAGTCGAATATAACAAATGCCATTGAGCTAGATAACGCTTGGTCTCTAGAGATTCATGCATATAATCCTGTGGCTGTGGCTATGATATGAACGGCGCTTCCAGGCAATAACTGGAGAAAGATGAGGGTCCTCGGCTTGGCAAATTCGAATCCCTTCCTCCGTGTATTTGTCCATCCAGTTACAGCTTGTTGGTATCCCAGGCAAGTCAGCATTATACAGAGGTGCTAGTACACGAACATTGATATCAGGTTCCTGTGAAGTAGACACACAATCTGGGCAGTCCGGGCGCTTACAGCGTCTGGTTTGACGAGATAGACCATCGGCATTACCATGTTTAGTCCCTGCTCGATGTTCAATGCTGAAATCATACGTGAACAGTGTAGAGATCCAGCGAGCCACCTTCCCTTCGGGTTCTCGGAAATTTAAAAGCCACTTCAAGGCACCATGATCAGTGCGAATCAAAAAGTGCCTTCCCCACAAATAATGGCGAAAATGTCGTACGGATTGAATCATTGCCAACAACTCCATTTCAGTGGTACAGTATCGGCGTTCCGTCTTGGATAGAGTTCTGCTTAAATAAGCGATGACATGTTCTTCCCCATCTTGCAATTGTGATAACACAGCACCAGTACCAGAGCCACTTGCGTCGGTGTCCAAATTAAACTCTCCCTGAACCAATGGAAAAGCCAGGATAGGAGCAGATGTCAAAAGACGCTTAATGATTCCAAATGCTTCCTGACAGTCACCACTCCACTCAAATTTCACATTCTTTCGAGTCAAGCGGACTAAAGGCGACGCTATAGTGGAATAACCTG